GTGCTTGTTGGAGGAACTACGGTAATAGGTCCAAGGCCCTCGGGTACTGACATTGTACCTCTCGCTCATCCCAGACTGTCAGCACCAAGAACGAGGGGATTGCCGTAGTTCAGGTGAAGAGGTACACGAATTGCTACCTTCCGATTACGCAACAATTACCATCGATAACATCGTAAAATTACCTTGGACACATGGCTATATTCCAGTGTTATTTAGTCAACTGTGTGTTTGAAACATGAGTTTCACTTCCTGCTTTCCCCTGCTACTTATCGCTGGTGATATCCTTCCACATCCTGCCTCAAACAACTAACTGAACACAACTCTAGACGTTAACATATTCCATTTGAATATCAGAGGTATTCGCCATAAACGCACGCATATTAAAAATGATATATCAGACTTTGACGTTCCATGTTTCACCGAATCCCATCTTGACTCCAGAGTACAGTCGAATGACTTCTCTTGTTCCTACGATGAACCCCACATGAGGGACACGGATTGAGTGAGTGAGTATGGTTTAACGCCGCTTTTAGCAATATATCACAGCGGGGGACACCAGAAATGGGCTCCACACATTGTACCCATGTCGGGAATCGAACCCGGGTCTTCGGCGTGACGAGCAATACCATTATGTATTATCTTCAATAAATCTCATTTGGCTGGAAGTTAGCTCATGCCCTTGTACAAGAAAGGAGACAAATCCGTACCCTCGAATTATGGACCAAATAAGCTCATCATACATACTTGGGTAGATACTTGAGAGACATGTCTTGAGGTCAACAAACACATCAAGATGCTTCTTATAAATCATAGAAGTACATGTCAGCAAAGGCAGCCAATAGCATTATAAAATCGGCATTAGTCCGGACTAGTACAAGCAGCCACGCACACACACGTGCGCGCGCATGCGCTATTTAAGTGCAATGATGTTAAACCCAACTTCACTTCACTTACAAGACCAGACTGTGTGCGTGCGTGCGTGCGTATGTGCGTGCGTGTGCGTGTGTGAGTGCGTGTGTATGTGTGCGCGCGTGCGTACGTGCGTGTGTAGGGAGGCGGGGTGCGTGTGCGTGTGCGTGTGTATGTGTGCGCGCGTGCGTACGTGCGTGTGTAGGGAGGCGGGGGTGCGTGTGCGTGTGCGTGTGTATGTGTGCGCGCGTGCGTACGTGCGTGTGCGTGTGTGAGTGCGTGTGTATGTGTGCGCGCGTGAGTACGTGCGTGTGTAGGGAGGCGGGGGTGCGTGTGCGTGTGCGTGTGTATGTGTGCGCGCGTGAGTACGTGCGTGTGTAGGGAGGCGGGGGTGCGTGTGCGTGTGCGTGTGTATGTGTGCGCGCGTGCGTACGTGCGTGTGTAGGGAGGCGGGGGTGCGTGTGCGTGTGCGTGTGTATGTGTGCGCGCGTGAGTACGTGCGTGTGTAGGGAGGCGGGGGTGCGTGTGCGTGATGAGGACCATCTCGGAAGCTTGACCACTGTTGCGGATAGGTGAGAATTATTATCACTGACCTTTTAGTTATCACCACTGCCATCATATTTTGTATTGGATACTGCCATGGATATTGTGCTGCCACTCTATTGCATACTACCATTGTAATTGTTGTGCAGTAGTTTGTATTGATTTGTAAACCTAGTTAATTGTAATACAATTGATGATTGTATATCATTTCTTGTTTGTTTGTTGTTTCACATAACATTGAGCAAATTGTTGTGTGTGTGTATTTGTGCGTGTGTGTGCGTCTGTGTATGTGTGCGCGCACGCATGTGAATGCGCATGTGTGTGTGTACGTGTGATTATTATCAGGTATGTCATCTATTTCTATATCGCATTCCGCATATACCCTGCACGTAATACATGGTTGTAAATCATGTTGACATGCGTATTAAATACAATTCAATGTTTACTGTGCTATTTCAATATCTTGTGTCCATCATACTTATTTGTTCCTGACTTTAGCATTTGGCAAAGGCTGACGCCTAGATAATATTCCCCCCCCCCCCCCCCCCTCTCTCTCTCTCTCTCTCTCTCTCTCTCTCTCTCTCTCTCTCTCTCTCTCTCTCTCTCCCTCTCTTTCTCTGTGTAAACTGGTTACACCACGGTTTCTTTACAACTTGATTAACGTCAGCACCGCAGCCACTAGACTGGCGCAGACTCCATTGTATAATAATAGACTGCAAATAATGACTCACAGTCCATTCAACAAGCTAACAAAAATGCAGCAAAAACATAATATTTTGAAACACTGTTATAAAATTAAAGTTATAAAATGGACTCTGGAATTTCTGCATTTGAAAAAACACAGAAGAAACAAATCTCGATTTTTTTTTATATTACCTTTTAAAAATATTTTTAAAACAAGGACTGCTTCCAGTCTAAGCACAAAACTGACGACGCGGAGACCAAACATCGCTTAGAACACCAGCAGCCATAAACCAACTTGTCACCTCATCCAGACTTGGGCACGACGTGCACCAGCAAACACATCTATCACATGTATCCTGCACACCCTTGGTGAATGTTTAGACGACACAGTGCCACCGTCCTAGTTTATGTGTATATTATGCGTCTGTAGTCGTTCTTGAATAAAAACACTGGTATTTTGAAACTACTGAGCACACGTTCGCTCGCAGGTAGTGGATGTACAATACATACTGTAAGAATGTCTGATTAGTTCTTGCATCAGAGACGCCATAATATACGGACGTCATGCACATTTCAATGATGATTAGGATGACATGATAACTGCTGTGTAGCTGTCGACTTTAAACAGAAACTTGCTCTCAACGTTTGAAATAGCATTACGGTGTTAGTGGGGAATTCAGTTATTCAATTTTGGCATTGCAAAAAAGATAATTTTTACCAGGTCCCCACGAGTTTGACACAACGAGGATCAATTGTAGTGTTTCCTTTGTCCGGTCGCAGTTAACTCTGTATGACCTATGCCTAACTGGGTCAGAGCATTGGTTCGCATCACACGCCCATGACATCTCTCGCAAATTTCATGATTGTAAGTGGCTCATTAAATCGAATCAGACTGGTCGCCAGGGATAGGATGTGCTTGTGGGGTGGAGTCATGTTCGTTTGTTTTCTTCGTTTTGGGGGGTTGCGATTTTTTTTCTTCCGAAAAGAGAGCTGAAATTCTTTTGTACAGCACATGGAAAGAATGTTGAACTTTTCTCACTGTTCACTAAAACATGATAACTGTACAGATGTAAGTGATTTTGAAAGAGAACAATGAAAACCTAGACAGTTGGACACGTTGGGTCCAAACCCCGAGTAGTTTTACAAAACGGTTGAGAATCAATCGCCCAAACACATCTACAACTGCTACATCACCCACATCAGTGGAACTTAAGTTTGAAGTAAAACTTTTGCTGCACTTGCAGCATGCCAGCCTACAAAGATTGGACATAAAAGGAACGATGTACTGGTCATTCACATCCAAACCGTTGGACCGTGACAAATAACATGATGAGATTTATGATACTAAAAGAACAAGCCATTGGTATGATACATCATGAAGCAACCCCCACGTTGCAAAGAGTTTTGGCTGTATCTGAATGACAGTCACCAAGCTTATTGTCTGTAATAGGCACACTGGGTGGACGGGGGACAGGCGATACTTCATCGTCGACGTCGTTACACCATAACAATACCCCTGAAGGTCACGGAAGTTTTGTCCCCAAAAGCATTTGTGAAAATATTGAAAGTCCAAGTAGAAAGTAAAATGCATTTACCCAATCACAAAGAGCAGTTTTTGCCTCAAATTGGTCAGAAATAGGACACACTCGCTCTATCATAACAAAATAGAAACAGGTGACACCAGACCCATTAGACTCCTTTTTATAGGCAAAACGCAACCATTAGAAAAGAAAAGTTCCAGACAGGTGCAAGAAATGTTTGAAGCCAATGTCATTCAGTCCAGTTCTTCTGAATGACACGCTCCCGTTGTCATGGTTAAGACACGGGATAGCTCTTACCGCTTTGCCGTAGATTATATAGACACCTCAGTGCAGTTACCAAACTTGTATTTTCCTCGTACCACCTCTGCGAATATTTTTAGTGTGCTTGATTGTGCTAGTGGCTTTGGGCAAATACCAATCCATCCAGATGCAAAACACAAGTAGGCCTACATTCTGCAAACCATTTTAGAGGCAGTAAAGAAATGAATTGGCGTTACATACTAATATACGTTTTCTGAAACATTTTTGGAAGATTTGAGTCACCTCAAGGCAGTATTCCAAAAGATCAAGAAGCAGGACTCATTCTAAAACCAAGCAAATGTAAATATCTTAAGATGGCATCCATGTCCATCCTTCAAAAAATGATTCAGTCACACAGGTCCACATGTCTTTTGACCATACAAGTATCTTCCTGTTCTGATTTTAGGAACAAACAATGTTGATTGGTAAGGTTTCGTTTGCTCGTCAGTTTCCAAGTAAGGGTATAAACTCCTTAATGGTCATTTCCCATCACCGTCAACAACTGCTGTGGCCTCTTGAAATGAAAGATTTGAAATGATTATTACTAAATAAGGGTTACAGGCATACTGTCTCTCATGGCCATGTCTCTGTGAAAGAGTGTGGCTATGCTCACGAAAGATTCTGTATTGATGAGGATGTATTGATATTGTGGTCGGGACTTTTATTGAGGGTGAGTTATTTCTGTTAAAGCAGATGGAGGCTGAATTTTTTTATTTACACAAAATTATGAGCTGTGTCTAGTGTAAATGTATCGTGGAAAAACGTTCCTAGTGAAAAGTGTTCCATGGGAATAATTTCCCTAGAGACAAATAGTACAAAGGAACACTTTCACTACATGAATAGATATTCTTTCACACATACACTAGGAACAGGAATAGAAACATTGTTGATATTCCATATTTAGATCGAGCAACTGACAAGTGGTCTCGTTAATACACTGGGGCAATCAATTGAAATCTTACATGCCCTTATTTTAAATATCAAATATATGTTTGGCCGAATGAGGACGGCAAACGGACTTACTATGTCTGAAAGGATGAGTTCCCCACTGAAGAATGAATCTGTCTCAGTTTGTTCCCGACAGAGTGCATGAGGCAGGACAAGGGACAACGGGATCCAAACACTCGATGACAAAGCTGTTCGTGACACGAATCATTCCAACACGAGGCCTAAGTCAACACCTTTACTTCAGTGTATGGCCGTTATAACTCCATTAGCGTAGGTTATTGTCTTTGATAACAAGCAGTAAATCCAATAACTGAAATATTCAGTGGCTCGGAGATATTCCGCGTGACGGAGCTGAGACTGATTAATCTGCAAGATGATGCAAGACGATTGGCCATTCGGTGAACTAGCAGGCATGGTTGAACAAAGTTGTCTCTCGCCCAAGATGTTTGTTCTCGGATCAGCAAAAGAGAAGGGTGAAGTGTAAATACACCAGGACCAATAATTTAGAACACACATGATGGTACGTTTTAGGCATGACAAACTGAACTTTTACCCTTAATCATAATACATAAGCTCGAATTCAGCGCCACAGAAGGGTGTACCTCTACACTAGTCACAAGATGATCGTGTATAAAGAGAGCGGTGCTTCAATTGCTTGGTGAGTTCAAGAACGGTAGAATTAATTAATGAAACGAAAACATACACATTGTGCTTAAAATGCAGGTACGTAAAACCATCTCAAACTAGGATAACGAAAAGACTACTAATTGGTGAGTTACATCAAAAAGCACTGATTAGCTACGAAACGAAACTTGTAAAACAGACAAAGTTAACACTAACTATCGTTATTTAATCAGTCTGTTACACATACTAATATTCGTCTTAAAAGGTATATAATTACTAAAGACACATTTGACTGAAGACATGCAGAGCCTATAATATAAATCGTTTATTTCCACTTCTTATTTGTGAACACACTTTTCCGACTTTGTGTTAGTGATGATTGCACGTAAACATATCGTCGCTTTGTTCGCCTGCCACTTACTCGAGACACACATGCCAACAGCTGGTTGACTCTGTTCTATTTAAATTCACATGCACGCGTGAACATTTGCTGAGCAATTAACCCATCTACAGCACCTCACTTGATTGGTACTCCATAGTGCAGGGTATTATCAGGGAGGTGTGGCACACCTTGTATGTCCCGCCCCTAGGTGGCAGCATCTCCAAGATAATTCCCACAAACTCTCACGCTGAACCTTGTTCACGTTTCAGATGACCTTGACCTTAAAGCTTCCCTTGTTTGAAGTCGTTCCCGACACAATCCAAACAAACTTGATATCTCTGCCCCAAAACAAAGCGAACAAATAATACTTTTCAAACTAAACTTTTCTGAAATGTGAAAAAATTGTTGTTGTTTTTTACTTTTCACTGTTTCACTATCTCTGTTCCTCTGCTTCCATGCAATAGTTATTAACAATTTAACTAATTAATGCATTTGGATTAGACAAGTTTAAGAATGCCATACATACACTTCAAGACAATAATGTTTTGATAAATTGCAGCCATCAGTCAAAACAAAAATATCAAAATATTTCTTTCTTACTAATGAAAAAAGATTCATGAAGAAAGAAATATTCACAGAAAAAAGTCTTCCTGTCAATGAAATAACTGCAGTCAGTCTTTCTAAGTACCCCACCTGTTAAAACACCCACCTATCTGAGACAACTGCACTCTTCACATCTATGTATCCATTGTGTTAACACATTGTACATCTGTGACATCATCGATATGACGATATCATCGCCATATCGTTAGGTGAAAACATACGTTTTTCCCTGAAATGAGCCAATGAAATTGCTGTTGCTTTTCATCCACTAAACAGTATTTAACAGCATTGCCTGTCCAGTGAATGAGGTTTGCTTTCTTTGTAAAACATGCGGTCAAATTATGTTTTACTGCATTGCGGGGACATTTCATTTTTGTTCAGAAAATTGCCAAGCCTTCCCCAAGGACATTAAATGATTAACTCCTAGCAAAAACGTCTTACCTTATTTACAGAAGGCGACATCAACATTCTGCCTCTAACCTGATGTGAACAACTCACTTCAGCGGACGCCAAACAGTCTACGTTACAAAACCACACTCGGGCGGATTGCATTTCAGTTAATTTGTCATACTTCCGCTAGTAAGGGCATATATTATGTACTTACTTTATAGGTATATATTTACAGACGTAATGGACTCAGTGGTCTTCACATTGTAATGACGTTTAGTGTGTACAGGTGTGCACTGATTGACCATCGAGGCTTGTGATAACATCTAGAGTAAATACTTTTACTGAAAATGTCACCTACAAACTCACTATGGGAAGGCATGATCAATATGTATAAAATAAGTCTGAATTAAGCCGAATAGTCCTCAACTAAACATACACTGTGGAAATACTAAACAAATTACATGTATTTAACAATCCTCCGTGCCGGAGAAGTAGTTCGTCTGAATAAAAACTTCAGAATGGTCACGAGCCAACAAGGGAAAGTGAGTGGTGGAGGGTGGAGGGTGAAAGAGGATAGGGAGGAATGAGTTCAGGTGGTGGTGGATGTGGAGGCAGGGATTGAAGACTAGGGCATCAGGAGGTGGTACTAGGTCATGTGACAAAATCTGGGGCGTAGCTGTGCTTAGTTGTGTCATTTTGTTGGTTTGTTGTTTAACGCCGCACTAAGCAATATTCCAGCTGTATGGCGGCGGTATGTAAAATAAACGAGTTTGGACCAGTCAGTCCAGTGACTGACATCATGAGCATCGATCCACGCAATTGTGATACGAAGACATGCATCTATGTTGCGCAAAAAAGATGTACTTCTATCCGCGGGTAGGGGATTACAATCCCACATACACTCGTGCACCTTGGTCTGCTAGCAGTATAATGACTCGGTCATTATCACAAGGACAAAGACTTCAGATTACATACATTACATTCAGATTACGTATTTACATGATAGGACGACGATCTAACTGTGCACCACAACATCGATAGTAGCATCGCCTCACGTGACTGGACGACGATCTAACTGTGCATCACAACATCGATAGTGGCATCGCCTTACATGACTGGACGACGATCTAACTGTGCATCACATCATCGATAGTAGCATCGCCTTACATGACTGGACGACGATCTAACTGTGCATCACATCATCGATAGTAGCATCGCCTTACATGACTGAACGACAATCCATCGCCTCACATGACTGGACGACGATCTATCGCCTTACATGACTCGACGACGATCTAAGTGTGCATCACAACATCGATAGTGGCATCGCCTCACATGACTGGACGACGATCTACCGCCTCACATGACTGGACGACGGTCTGTCGCCTTACATGACTGGACGACGATCTAACTGTGCATCACAACATCGATAGTGGCATCGCCTCACATGACTGGACGACGATCTACCGCCTCACATGACTGGACGACGATCTAACTGTGCATCACAACATCGATAGTAGCATATCGCCTTACATGACTGGACAACGATCTAAGTGTGCATCACAACATCGATAGTAGCATCGCCTTACATTATTGGACGACGATCTATCGCCTTACATGACTGGACGACGATCTAAGTGTGCATCACAACATCGACAGTGGCCTCGCCTCACATGACTGGACGACGATCTACCGCCTCACATGACTGGACGACGATCTAACTGTACATCACAACATCGATAGTGGCATCGCCTCACATGACTGGACGACGAACTAACTGTACATCACAAAATCGATAGTGGCATCGCCTCACATGACTGGACGACGATCTATCGCCTCACATGACTGGAAGACGATCTAACTGTGCATCACAACATCGATAGTGGCATCGCCTCACATGACTGGACGACGATCTAACTTTGCATCCCAATATCGATAGTGACATCGCCTCACATGACTGGACGACGATCTAACTGTGCATCACAACATCGATAGTAGCATCGCCTCACATGACTGGACGACGATCTATCGCCTCACATGACTGGACGACGATCCAACTGTGCATCACAACATCGATAGTGGCGTCGCCTCACATGACTGGACGACGATCTATCGCCTCACATGACTGGACGACCATTTAACTGTGCATCACAACATCGATAGTGGCATCGCCTCACATGACTGGACGACGATCCATCGCCTCACATGACTGGACGACGATCTAACTGTGCATCACAACATCGATAGTGGCATCGCCTCACATGACTGGACGACGATCTACCGCCTCACATGACTGGACGACGGTCTGTCGCCTTACATGACTGGACGACGATCTAACGCCTTACATGACTGGACGACGGTCTGTCGCCTTACATGACTGGAAGACGGTCTGTCGCCTTACATGACTGGACGACGGTCTGTCGCCTTACATGACTGGACGACGATCTAACGCCTTACATGACTGGACGACGATCTAACTGTACATCACAACATCGATAGTGGCATCGCCTCACATGACTGGACGACGATCTATCGCCTCACATGACTGGACGACGATCTACCGCCTCACATGACTGGACGACGGTCTGTCGCCTCACATGACTGGACGACGATCTAACTGTACATCACAACATCGATAGTGGCATCGCCTCACATGACTGGACGACGATCTAACTGTGCATCACACTATCGATAGTGGCATCGCCTTAGATGACTGGACGGCGATCTATCGCCTCACATGACTGGACGACGATCTATCGCCTTACATGATAGGACGACGATCTAAGTGTGCAGCACAACATCGATAGTAGCATCGCCTTACATGACTGGACGACGATCCATCGCCTCACATGACTGGACGACGATCTAACTGTGCATCACAACATCGATAGTAGCATCGCCTTACATGACTGGACGACGATCCATCGCCTCACATGACTGGACGACGATCTATCGCCTTACATGACTGGACGACGATCTAAGTGTGCATCACAACATCGATAGTAGAATATCGCCTTACATGACTGGACGACGATCTACCGCCTCACATGACTGGACGACGGTCTGTCGCCTTACATGACTGGACGACGATCTAACTGTGCAGCACAACATCGATAGTGGCATCGCCTCACATGACTGGACGACGATCTACCGCCTCACATGACTGGACGACGATCTAACTGTGCATCACAACATCGATAGTAGCATATCGCCTTACATGACTGGACGACGATCTAACTGTGCATCACAACATCGATAGTAGCATATCGCCTTACATGACTGGACGACGATCCATCGCCTCACATGACTGGACGACGATCTATCGCCTTACATGACTGGACTACGATCTAAGTGTGCATCACAACATCGATAGTGGCATCGCCTCACATGACTGGACGACGATCTAACTGTGCATCACAACATCGATAGTAGCATCGCCTTACATGACTGGACGACGATCCATCGCCTCACATGACTGGACGACGATCCATCGCCTCACATGACTGGACGACGATCTATCGCCTCACATGACTGGACGACGGTCTGTCGCCTTACATGACTGGACGACGATCTAACGCCTTACATGACTGGACGACGATCTAACTGTGCATCACAACATCGATAGTGGCATCGCCTCACATGACTGGACGACGATCTACCGCCTCACATGACTGGACGACGATCTACCGCCTCACGTGACTGGACGACGGTCTGTCGCCTTACATGACTTGACGACGATCTAACGCCTTACATGACTGGACGACGATCTAACTGTGCATCACAACATCGATAGTGGCATCGCCTTACATGACTGGACGACGATCTACCGCCTCACATGACTGGACGACGATCTACCGCCTCACATGACTGGACGACGGTCTGTCGCCTTACGTGACTGGACGACGATCTAACTGTGCATCACAACATCGATAGTGGCATCGCCTCACATGACTGGACGACGATCTACCGCCTCACATGACTGGACGACGATCTACCGCCTCACATGACTGGACGACGGTCTGTCGCCTTACATGACTGGACGACGATCTAACGCCTTACATGACTGGACGACGATCTAACTGTGCATCACAACATCGATAGTGGCATCGCCTTACATGACTGGACGACGACCTAACTGTGCATCACAACATCGATAGTAGCATAGTTAGATCGTCGTCCAGTCGTGTAAGGCAATGCTACTGTCAAAATGTTGACGATTGACCCCGTCTAGGACGTCCCAGGTCAAGAACAAGAGTACAGGATCGATTGAATCCGAAACCAGGCTCCATGAAATTGAGCTCAAATTGCTTCAAACTTTCATCAGGCTACTGGAATACGAGTTATATCAGCAGGTCGGATGATTTGGAATCGTCTACATGCAGCTCATCTCCATGCTGGACGGCCACGTCTTGTGCCGCCCCTGACAAACTGTCATATTGCCAACAGATGTCAATGGTGTACACAACACCGAGTCTGGGGCAGATGAGTCCCGCTTCACTTTGCACTTCTAGACGTCTACACACAGTGCACATGTCTAGACAACATGGACAAGAGGACCACTTAATGTACTTCGGGAATAAGTGCAAGTAGACTAAAAAATAACCAACTCATTTTGTCAATATTTTCACCTTTATTATTCTAATGACACTTCTCTTGGTGTATAATGCATATATGCTCATAAATTCTTCATCCTGTCCAGCACTATTAATATTTGGTAATACATATAGCACCCTTTGACAGTAGGCTCTGGAACCAATATTAATGTCAAACATACATTTGTGGTGAGTGAAGTACAAACAGTGAAGCTACTACTGAGTGGCTCTACGTGTACAGCATCCAGTTATTTCAAATACATGAAGAAACAGAAACAATTATGCTGGTACAAGTTTACATCAAGTGGAATCGGTGGGATTGTCTGTGTGTACACATGTGTATCATGACACCTTCATGGTGCCAACACTCCTGAATACATTCACTCTAAACCTTAACATACATGCATCATCACTGCTATTCCAAAGGTGATATGGACCAGCTGAGGTATTGAACAGTCCTAATTCCCCCAACTCTAGGATCAGTAGATATGACTTATGACTATACACCAGATCCAGCAACACACTCCAAGACCAGACCTGCCAAGGCAATGTATGCATGGCCTTGTTTTACAGGATATATACGCCAGGATTCAGAAGACAACATAAAAACGTTGGTCTTGTGGGAGTTAAGGTTAATATAATAGTCTTGAAATAATGTAACCACCAAAATACAAAAAGGGTGTTGAAAGCATTTTTTATCATTTTCTAACGTATGCAAAATTTAGGGCAGGAACATTTTGGGATAAATATGATGAACAAACATTGGAGCAAAATGAAAAAAAAAACACCACACACATTTGTCAGAGTGAATCTGAAGTAAATTCCCTGAACTTCAAACTTCCTCAAATGTTTACTAGGTTAATTTAAAGGTATGCATGAGAGAATACTAGGTTTATCAGTTGTTTTTCCATTTACATCAGAAAATATTTCATAAATCTAGATCACAAAAAAGTGTTTTTAGTATCTCTTTCTGTTGCTTTTTTATCCCAAAGTGAAGCAAATATAGTCTGTCATAAATGGGTAGTCTGCCATAAATGGGTTTTAATATATTTTTCAGTAAACAATCAGAAAATGATTATTTCATTATGACTTCCAATTGACTTCCACAGCTCTGTTGGCTGAGAGTGAGGTGACACACATCTAGGCTGCAGGCCAACACTCAGTGATACAAGTTGGTCAGTCTAGCTGTGCTTCCAGTACCATACAATCTGCCCAAACTGATACAGTTGGGACTACCCTTGAGGACATCAAGGGCTATCCAACCCCAGACCAGCAGACCCTAGCACTTGACAACACCCTGCTCCGCTGGGCTACCTGTCACCTGACTTATACACAATGACACAAGTGTTCATCACATGCAGGAAAGTAATTGACAGCTAACTTGATGTCTGTGGCATTCAAGTCTTATATTAATAACTTTCCCATGGAGATTAACTGATTTGGGCCAGACAAAAAAAGTGGTGTGCCTCAAATCTGGCAGTCATCAAAGACAACTGGGCAAATAATGTTATAAATTAGTCAATCAATGTTACATGTATGTATATATAAATAAATATATTAAATAATGTAAATGAAAGACTACATGGGTTCTTAGAGAACCATGCGCTCAGCAAGTAACCCGAGTCATAACATACCATAAAACAATCCAAATTAAGATTTCTTTTACTTTCACAATTGTACCTGGGCAAACTAGGAGGTGACTGTCCAATATATTACCTGTAAAGTGTCTTCTGGGACTCAACATTATATACATGTATCTACATTCCAACATTTCTACCTCAAACAAATTGGGCCTTATACATTACACATGTCAGATGAAAGTGAGTAAGAGAAGTGGCTTTTTTCAGTTACATCACGGCTGCCAGCTTCATCTAGGAAGAAAACCAAAGCGATAGAGGTATGGAGTCAACATTCCGAGGATCATAATCCCGGTGATTTGGGACTCATGACCAACAGATCCTGCTTCTAAAAAGGGTCTGCAAGATGAATAAGTATGGCTCAGATGACCTTATTGCCACTGCTGCCTTATTGTTTGTACAGTGGACCTTTCTTACCAGTCATGTTCTCCTGTGTGGGGCCGCACCCGACACTGTATAGAACAGTCACACATGAATGACCCGTCAGAATGTTGTCAACCAATTCCCGTTATCCAGCATCAACTTGCTGCTGTTGTAATAACTGCACTACTGGATGAGTGACATAGTTACAGGTATATAGCAGGCCTTGATTTAGCTATATAAAACACCAGTACAACCAATTATTGAAAAATGCAACTAAATATTAATGTCTACATGCACCAAATTCATGTAAAAAACATCATTATTGTGTCTGACTTACCCTTACTTGTCCCCACAAAATCTGTGAATTAAGTGAATGTCTCTAAGCTTTATTTACTAAACTACATCACTAATCCATGTGTCATGTGACACATGACACAATCATCAGAGATCGGAGATTGTAATTATCATGACTAGTTGATGCATCTATGTTTCAACTTTAAAAAATGTGACTTGGGTTTGGACACAGCTCCGGGCACAACTCTCCACAGCACAACATAGCCCTGGCCCAGCCATACCCCAGGTGTACCTCTACTTGTTCCTCTCGGCATATCATATTGCACGGGTTCATTGCTGTACATCAAACACAATTGATTTATAAGCTTCGAAAATCTTTCTACTTACATCTGTCTGAAGATCAAAGAAAGTTCTGAAATATTTATTTTGATAAAACTGAGGTTTTCTTCTGAAGACATGGATGTGGCAAATCAACTGTTTCAGTCAACATGAACAGTCATTGAAATAGAAGATTTTTATTATGAAACAAACTGTTTTAACTGTACATTATTATTCTTTACGGACAACAAATATTTTTTTCTTATAATATTTTGTGTGAAAATGCTGGTTCAGTATGTGGAAAAAAATAAACCGATATTTCAGATTATTTCATGTTGTTTTTCTCAAGTGCTTTTCAGACCTGACATTTTTCCAAGGGTTCCATGTTCAAACATTACCAACTGATATGTAACTTTAATGTGGATTTGATGTTTGACTACATGTAATATTTGACACATAACAAACTGTAATGTGACACACACATGAAAGATTTCACCCTTTCTTAATCTTTGACGTTGAATGTGATTTTCATACAGTAATGCAACATTAATATGGAGGTTATTATATATTTTTAAGAATCATTTATTTTAATCTAAACACAATCATTAAAATCAGATCTTTCATCCAGAAGAGGTATCACATCAGAATGAAAGATCTGATTTTTATAACTTATTGGTAACTAATTTATCTATATGTTTACTAAAGTTTGCAAACATGGTCGTCACATAGACTCCATCAGAAGGCAAGGTGTGTTCAGTAGCACATGACCACCGGTGGAGTAGCAACATGATTGTATAGATAGTCTAGCATAGTAAGGTGTTACCAACAACTCTTAGCTACATGTTATGACATCAATGTTATCTAAATGTAACAAATCTAAACATTAAAACTGCTAAATAAACCATTCATTCCCCTGAAAACAAACATATAAGTCATTCTGACCTAGCCTAGCAATTTCACTCTGATCTCTGTTGATGACTCAACTATACCAAAATCATGTGTTACAACCGACTAGAATGATACTGCTTTATCCTCAATAGGGGTAGTTGGTTCTTCATATCTGGACCTGTACATTAATGGCAATAATAATAATAATGATAAAATTACACAATCTACTCTTAACATGTACAACTTGGTATGAATCAAATGATAAGAATAACAGGAAGGACATATCTCCGTTACCATGGGAACCTCAAAGCAGTCATCATCCACCAATGTCGTATCAATACCTGATACAGATGCAGCTCACTGAAACCACTCCAAGGGAAGTAACTCCACATCAACCTCACAAATCATATCCTGGTGGTTACTGTTAAATTGAGTGAATACCCTGTGTTGCTTTCATCTGATGGCAACTTTAACAAAAAACATTTTTTTAGGCATTATTTTCCTATTTTCAGTCATAGGCATTCGTGCAACAAGTATCTAAGATATTCCAATGTCATCAACATAGATTAAGTATAAGCTTTAAGTACATTTTTAAATGGTTTAAAAACAGAATATATTTAAACAAAGAGCATCATATCTGCATGATCAATGAGATTCAAAACAAAACAACTTCTCACAGTAACCATAGTAACTAAATGATATGGGAAAGAAACGGCAAACAGCAAACATATATAGTGGACAATTGAATCAGGGTGACGGAGTAAACAGGGTAAATATTGACCTCAGCCAACATAGACAAACTGATGCGAGATAGTTTTAACATGATGGTATAAAACATCTCAATTCAAAGCACTGCATGCAAGTTCTTTCCAAAAAGCAACTGACTCTCTCAGATAAATACCACACAGAGGACTCAATAGTACAACCATAAAATTAAATATTCACATTTGACAAATTTAAAGACATTGCCTATTAATAAAGCCATGAATGATTTCTAAATATGGCAGCCAGGGTGGCCATGTTTCACATCAGATCAAAATCCTATAAGCAATGTTTTGAGAAACCATAGCTAAGATGATTCCTGTAAAGTTTTGACTCCATAGGCCTTGTAGTTTTAGAGGATAAGTTGAAAATGCAGCAACACTCGAAAAACAGGGATCAAGAAAGTCAAAGGCCATACCTGGATAAAACATGGAACTTTACCCAATGCATTATTATCTGCTATTCCGAAAGCCACTTGATGGCTGGCTTTATTCATGTGAAGTTTCAACTCCATAGCTCTTGTAGTTTCAGAGACATTGAAAATGCAAAAAGTTAATGATGGACAATGCACAACACATGCTCATGTGTAAAAAATGATGACAACATTCAAACCCAACCTGTCAAACTGAACCTCAGACTCTTCACTCTGTAAAAATATATAATATTATTATAAACTGTTCGGACAGATTCAAATTTCAGACTTCCTGACATTTCATTCTGCCTTTATTGTACTGTGCAGCATTCAAGAAAATCTTCTCTACATAACTGTAAGCTTGATCACGATCAACTTAACTAATGAAGGCGTGAAATGACCATTCAAGCATCAGTACATATAAGCCCATTTCCAAAACAAATATCAACCTCATATTCTACACTATAAGCTTCAGCCTTCCCCTCAATCAACTTTCTGATAATAAAACTATAAAGAAATAAATTTGTGGCAAAGAAATCGTTAAAAATTGTTCTGTCTTAGTTTTCCATGACATGTCCGATGTTGCCCCGCCCGTCTTCCTGCACGTCCTGAAACTGCTGATACCACTGATGAAGTTCTCGCAGCTTCACCGACACCGACTCGCGCTGCCGCTCTGCCAACAGTGATCGCAGCTCGTTGTCCATGGGAGCATCACCGGGAGGGTACACAAAGAAGGGGTTGTCTCTCAGGATTCGGTTCTGGTTGAAGGCACAAGTTTTGAGATGCTCCCCTATGGGATTGTGGCCCGAAAACTGCCACTGTTCAACTGGGCTGAAGGCTGTGCTGAAGCGCCACCTCTGAAATGGAGTGCATGTGATAAGAGTGAAAGTTGTTTTGATACTTGGACCAGACAAACTAGTGCTTGACAATGTGAGTATCATGAGAAACCATCCCTGCTGTCATTCGGCTATGTCACACATGCTCACACCCAATCCTGAATGGAACCAACTCTCCCAAGCATGCAGGACCTATACTCACCTGTAATTCCAAGGAGAAACAATTGCCCATGAGTCAGCAATATGATGTTTATTTAAGAAACATATGACACATGGTGGTTATTTATTGTACACTTAAACACTGCAAGGAGAATAAACCATGACGGGTGCATGGAAACGTGTGGTTTATTCTACCTGCATAGTTTTATTGTACGATAAACAACGACCATGCATCATTCATTTCTTATATGAGATATCAACATTATGTACAAGTTTTAAAAATATATACCCAAATTTTAATAATGTTGACTCCCTGAATAGAATCTGACCACAGAAAAGTCAGACAAGTCCATTTTACGAACAGGTGGGTAAAGTTTGGTATTTCCAGGATATTCTCACGTCGATTATCTGTACCATTTCTCTAATTGTCATCTCTCCCACTTTTGGATGCGATTTTGGGGAATGCCCATGTGTGGAATCGAACCCAGGTCTCTGTTGTGACGACCGAACGCTTTAACCACTCGACTACCCAACCGACCCCAGTATCTTAGAAATAGAATTTTACCACTTTAGTGAAACCCACAAGCACAGGAATGTTACTGACAAACTTAGAAACATTATCTGGGTTAATATGTTTATAACCTGGATCCCAGGATTCTGGCATGTCTAAGGGACAGTGAATTGTGGCACCTAATGTGGGAGGAATGTGCTGCCATAGACTCACCAATGGAAACCCACAAGCAGGGGTACACTGAACATAAACAAGCAACATTCACACAGGGTCAGTCAGCGACAGAGAACACTGTTTTCCACCACAGTCAGCCAATGTCCAGGCTGTATAATGGAGTCTGAGCTAGGAAGCCAAGGTGGACAGCAGCAGCACAGATCTAGTTAAGCATTTGTTAAGATCTATAAAGACTATTGTAACATTAGCTTCAGCATGTTTAGTAAACACTCAACAAGTGAAGGACATGGTTTCTATACAGTGTTCCAAACTATAAGAACCCTTGCAAATTTTTAACACTTCTGTATGCAAAACACTGACAACATTTACTGCAAAGCCTATGTTCATATTGAGCCAATATGGCCATACACTCCTGACTTACATTGCAAAATGACTGCCACGTGACCTTCTGCTCTGCATCCTTGACCTTCTCCCAGACCTGTATGACTATGCCGCGTTCATCGAGCAGGCTGCAGCAGACGTCACGCAGCAGTTTACAGGTGAGGGCTAGGTTACACAAACTGAAGGAGTCCAGATGTCGGGACACATGCTGCAGCACCTCGAAGGGAAGATTCAGAAACTCCATGCCTGTAACCATGACAACAAACCTCTGATACATACAGACATTTCATTGTTGTGATGCAAATCAATCAATTAAAAAGGTGAAGTATGCAATACAGATTATCGAAATACCTGGAAGTGAAAAAGTGAGTGAGTTTTGTTTCTTGCTACAGTCTGCATAGTTACAGTCATCTGTCAGTGATGAACAGCAGCATACATTACCAAGGCACTGTCATCACTGTGTAACAACTCCACCCTGTGTATGCTTTACATCATGTACATCATAACAAGATAAGTAAATCCAATGATCATTGTCCAGTGTACGTTTAATCATGTTAATTACTCAAATGTGACTCAGGTATATGTCCTAATCCTGTGAAGATTTCCTATAGTTGTTATCATGGTTATTAATATGATGATTATGATGAGCATGGTAAATGCTATTTTTACTAATCATGCTAATAGACTTTACTATTACATAACGGCTGTCAAAATAAGATTTAGGTCTATATCAGTGATAAAGATTGAGATCTTCAAAATAATAAAGGATTAATTTCTCTCACCATCCTCAGAGTTTTATTAATGAGAGAATTGGAAAGAAGATCTAAAGATCGCTCAATCAATTCAATCGTATTAATAATACTTGTAAGTTTCAAACAAGATATGTAATAGTACAGTAATACCCAAAATTATCCTACAATTAAACATGCTGAATGCAAAGCACACGAACCTGTATCATTCCACGTAGGAGCGTCTGGCTTGGAGAGGCGGGACTGCACGGATATAGCGGAGTAGGCTCGGTAAGAGGTGAAAACTTCCATGTCCAGGGCATCACCAGCAGATTCAGGAACACAGTCAGACGAAGGCACCACCTCCGACTGTGCACTGTGCTGTGAGGTCGGGGTGGTCTCATATTGCACAGGGGGTAGTGAACGATTGGGATACGTTGTACAGTTTGTGTCCATAGCTTCGGACTGGCAGTCATCAGATTGAAGTTTGTTGGTAACTGGAACATTGTAGTCTGCTGATTCTGTTGCTGCTAAACCATAGCTCTCTAATAATGCACTATGTACAATAGACACACCATGTTTACTTGGCTGAAAGCGCCGAAAGGAAAACGTACACCCCAGATATGCCAGAGGACATCTTTGCTCCATCCAGCCATTCAAGCAGCTTTGGATATCGTTGTGAACGTTTTTAAAGTGCCATGCATACTCATCTCGACGGAATTCCTGAGCACATAGAAAAGTGAACATTTCAGCTGGTTTGGGTTGATACTTTGTGATGCAGTCTATGTTGATATCCACACCAAGGACATCGCACAGCCGTGTATCGTTGTCTAGTTTCCTTGTCAGGTTTTTATTATTATTGTTTGTCATGGCTGTTTCATCCCCATCTTGAGCTGGTGTAAGGCTAACTGGTTCAGCAATGTCAATGGCTCCTCCAGTACTATCACACCTGGAGATGTCTGGAGTGGGACTGGGTACTTCGTTGGTCTTCTTGTTTCCTTGCTCACCAGTCTCATCAATATTCTTAAGAGAATGGCTTGAATTTGCCATATGGCTGGAAGCGAGATCTAGCGTTGTTGAAAGACTATCGGCAGTTTGTTTGGTGGCTCTGATGAGTCGACTACACACACTACGCTGCAGGCCTGGGGGATAGTTCCCCAGGTTCCATGGTGTATTTCCACCCTCATCATCAGACACATTTCTTGAAGTTTCTTCCGATGTGAGCATATCTGATTCCATTGAGCTACTTCGATGACTAAAGGGGGCTGCTGGATATCTAGTGGTGAGGCGATTTCGCAATATTCGCTTCGTCTTTTTGGGAGCATTCAGTGTTTCAACCAACATCCTTTGGTCCCGCATCGCTAAAGCCACATCCAACTGCCCACAATGAACTTTCAAAATGTTGGAAGGCAGTGGCATCTTTTTCTTATCTTCCACAGAATACATGGGCCATCTGTTCCATTCAATGGGACAACATAGGACGCTAGCAGGACACACTTCAAGATGAATTCCCAGTTTCTTCCGCTGCATTACAAGAGGGCAGCCATAGAGAAAGTTGATGCATGCAACTCGTTCGTCTGGACACAGGTGGGAGTGTTCAGACTGCAGACATTGATGAAACCTGGCTCCACAACCAACATCACAGACAGCCATTGGGCAGCTGGTTGTGTTGTCTGCCTTGACCGCACAATGGCGACTGATACAACCTTCACAGTGGACATGAGACATGGCCACAGACTCTACTCAGACGCTATATCTCCCGTGGTATATGGCCCATAATGACCAGTTGTTTCTCTATAATCACAGCTGTTGGAAATCTGAATTTGAGAAAAAAAAGACCTCGGAATTATTTTTTTGATCATAGCTCCATGATTTCACTGTGTGACTGTTTAAATAATTATAGTGCCTACAAAGAGAAAATCACAATCTTGGACAAAAATAATGATTTTTTCCCCAAAATGTCTTGCCAGTATTGGGCCCTAAGTTTACCAACTTTGCTGGTCTTGTTGGTAACTAACCACAGCTCGAGATAATTAGCATATTAATCAAATGCAGACATCACTTATACCTGAACTCTACTGCATTGAATAATGCTAAAAAGTGCTATGTCTCACTTTATTGTAACTTAAAGGGGCACTGATCTAACGCAATTCCCCGGACTGGTTGTTGCCTTTGTTATTGTTTTTTCCCCCGTGAGTACCCGGATGATACGCAACGCAACTGAGCGTGACCAGAAACTGGGCTACCGTCTGCAAGGACAGCTAAATAAACTTGGAGGCTGGAGGCAATATTTGTTTTACGCATTTTTGCATAAACACTGATTGGTTAACTGTGATTTATACAGATTTCGACAAAGGGCGCATGTTAATTAATTTCTTCAGCCTAAACAAAAAGACAAAAAGAACAGCGGAGCTCATCGAATGTCGTCATTTGGAAATACCCCAGATGGTTATAGTTTTATACTAAAAAAAGTATCCATGCAGTGAAAGCATTTTCGGATTTTGGCTTGCGTCGATAATACGATTACTACTCCCTTGTTGACATCCACGTTTTCTCGTATAACCCTTCACTTGTGTATTTGTCGTCATTCACTTGGTGCTCAGTTAATGAATTTATTACAGGTACAATTAGTGGTAGCACCAGTTAGATTACCTGACAAAGGTTCCCATTTGGCATTTATTGTGTCTGGGGTAATTATTCAATCTAAATCCAGGTTTGAAGTGAGGTGAAATGTGTGTTATGTAATATGCACGTGGCAGCCCAGCAAGAGATGAATGATCAGTTGATTTATTTTTTTGTAAATCAACGGAACGTTCCTAGTCATCAAAGGATTAACAGAAAATACGTTGATTGATTAATCAGTGTTATCTTGCACAGTGGATATGTCAAGAGTGAGTGTTTACATGTCTAGGTTTACTAAAACAAATACACTCATACCATGGCGTGGAGTGCCGATGTAAAAACAACATACTTTGTTCAGAGGGTTAACTTATAATACGTTGATTGATTGATCATTGTTATCTATCACTCAATGGATTTTTTAGGAACCGTGAACGTTATGAAAATAGTTGTCACGTGGGCTTTCTCAGCCGACCATTGAGACTTGACACCTATGTAAAACACCTGAAACAATCCAAGTTATCAGTTGAGAAACGAACACGGGTTATAATATCCCGATCTTTTAAAATATTTGATTGTTACTGAGACACGTGACATCGAATAAGTTTCTTTGTACATCTGCAGACTAGTGGGATATTGTTCCTTTGCGTGGATATTCACGGATACATTCCTCGAACAAGGAAGCTGCCTAAAATTTATACACATAAATTTGGTAGGTTGTAATTATGATATTTGCATTTTGTTTCCTTCATTTGAACCGATTCGTTCTTGTTTCCCCTCGTCTTGGTTGGGAAATTCTTCAATGCGCGATAGACGTTGTTTTCACAGGTCTTTGTAAGCGTGTATATATTACCGTCAATTTGTAAAATGTGATTCTCTCAGGCAATTTATAAAATGTGTAAATATTTCAGTCATTTTGACTAAAAAATCTCTCCAGACTGATTAAGACGATCAAAAGGGCCTACAAACATCACAACAGATTATTATGTAGGATTAGAAGCCAAACAACATAGAAATGTCCTTTTATCAACGTAACATTTTCAATCTCTTGGTGATGACATTAAACATCAAAATGTTTGGAATTTGTTATCATAATAATACAGATGGAAATGTTTTTCAGTCACTAAAAATAACTGAATATTTGTTACACATTTGACAGTAAAAAAAATACACACTATAAAAAAAGCAATGCTCAGGTGAAATATGTACTTTGTGTTGCAAGTCAAAATAGTGTAAACGAAAATCGCAAAATTACCAAGCAAGTGACTTATCAAAACTTCGTCACCATTACCGATGCTACCCACAAAGATACCTACATTTCCTTATTATCTCGAAAACTGTATTTCATTTTGTTCATCAATGTGACCATACGCCCTTGTTACTACCCATAAAAGCGACTAATGCGCTTACGAATGGCGCAGCAGAGGTCGCGAACTAGTCTAGATTTCTGCTATACATCCGGGTACTCACTGGGAAAAAACAATAACAAAGGCAACAACCAGTCCCGGGGAATTGCGTTAGATCAGTGCCCCTTTAAGACATCATCGCTGTTGCAACCTTATGACAACACATAGGGCAACACATGGACAGATGCAAACTGTAAGACACCTGAAACAGCATTATATCCAGAATTATATTTCAAAAAGGTTAACTCAATTGTTTTGAAAAACCCAATAGTCTGGACCCAAGGGAACTGAAATATACTGAATACCAAAAGAGAAGCACCTTTAGAATTCAGCACCGCAGCTTTTTGTGAGGACGATCTCTGAGACAAGCAACAAGTCTTTGTGGGAATTTGTCAGGATCAAAAATGGCAGCTCCCATTCAAGACGTTATGATCAACTTAACCGAAGAAAAGTTTTCCATTCTCTACATCCTTGTCAATTGATTCATTGCAAAAGGGCATAGTTTCACTGAAGTGGTGTATCTTGCAACAAAATGTAACAAATTACATCACAGGGTATCGTGACATGTTTGTTAACTTTGTGGTGCTTAATTCTACAGGTATAGGGCCCCAAAGTAAATGATAACATGTGAGTACATGTATACTTAATGGCCATTTATTTTATCTGCAGCCCTAACTTACAGTAATTATTTATTGTCTTGTTATTGTCAGATTAAAAGTAGTTATTAAAGCCATAACTTTTAGACTTAACATTATAGATGACCATGATGACCTGAGAAATTAATTGTTAAGGCAAATGACCATGGACATTTCACAGGAACTCGTTATTGGTCAGTAAATAAAAATATATACCCCCTATATGTAAGTAGAGAACTATATATACTAAAAAAATATATATCAATATATACCCCCTATATGTAAGTAGAGAACTACTTACACATAGGGGTGTATATTTTTATTTACTGACCAATAACGAGTTCCTGTGGGACATTTCCCTAAAAAATAACAACTTATAGACAGGAAAGGAGTTTTACATACAAGAAGAGGAAAAAATATTAGTAGTGAAACATATCCTTTCAGTTGTTTCCGTGCAGAAAATGTTACCGCCTAGCCTATATATATGTATAAGTATTGACGTCTACTGATCTAGAGTAATCGCCAAGTAAAGTGTGCAAATGCACATGATCATGTTGATGAATTGTACTTTTACTCAAAATGGATTTCCTTCTGGTTTTCATTTAGAATATTTCATTTTTTTTCAGGTCAAGTATAATCTGATTCCGAAGTAAGTAATTCTTCATCAAACTGAAAACACCTTGATTACCTTGAGTCATCGTAACTCCTTTTGTAACATTTTTGTTGTTTGATGTTGAAGACACAGCTGATGGTCACGCGATGTCCAACATAAATAAAATATTCATGCTTCTTCCAACCCGAAGTTATGATATTCACCTAGAAGATATAATGTATATTTTAGGCATTTCATTGCATCATATTTGACAATTTTCTGTACCTAACTTGTTTTTCCCCCGTTATCATTTAGGACACCGATAAATATTTATAAGGACATTACGGAAGCAACTCTCGGCAGAAAAATATCAATTTGATTATCAGTACTATACAATTATATCGGCATTTCTAAGATTACATTGAGAGCGCATAAATCCCCTGTGTTTGGAAATTACTGTAAAATATAAACAATAAAAACTTATGGAACACATTAATCCAATGGAAAACGTTTTATCATTCATTTCCTTACAACCGGAAATAGGCATTTGTCATCAGCTACTTCCGGGTTTAACAAGGTGCACAAGTGGAAAAACATTGACTGATAACTTGGACATTTCTGAATTTTGAGTATGTATCAGAGTCAGTTTGTTCTGAACACCAATAGGCCTATTTGGATTTATGCAAATTTCACACACATTTCATGTAAATATATTCAAATGTAGGCCGTAGTGATTGTTCAAATTCAACACCGGAAATGATATTTTCTCCGTGTTACCTTTAAAGTAAACATCAAGTATTCGTATCTTCTTCAAAAGGTTTTTATGAAAAAGAGGGGGGCGTTCATTGTATTTCCGAAACATATGCCTCAATTACCCTACTCATGTTATTCTAACATGACTAGCTTTCAGAACTTGTATTGTTTCCGTAGGCAAGTAGGGAGGATGAGGTCCAGCACATACATTAATTTAAGAGAACAGGGCCCGACTTGGAGAATGTCACCCTGGTAGGAGATGGTAAATAACTATTGGATCTTTATGGCATGATCCATGTTCTCAGTTATTAAGATCGTTGAAGGCTAAAACGGTACCGATTTCATCTGGCTAAACTTCTGCATAAGGTTAAGTGAAAACAGCACCTTATGTTTATAGTAAAGATAAAATATGATTTATGTAGTTACATTTATGCTTTAGTCATTGGTAACATTGATTCTCTTTTTGGCACCATATTTTAACACACTGACACAACACTAATATCATTGTCATCTATTTATGTTTCTATATTTCCTGCCATATTTCAGTGTAGTTACTACTGGCATGCACAAAAGCATCAAATAGTCAGTACCCGGGTACCCAAGTTACCTCTGTCAGACCTACAGAATCAGTAATTCTCTTGTGCTGTTGACCATCTGAACTAGCATATATACTCTTATATTACTGTAAATACTTTACCGATATTAAATAATCACATAGTTACGGTCTTCATTGTCTAAGCAGAGGCTTATGCTGATGCCTAAATATTTATGTCAGAAATGTTGGGTACCCTTCCTTTGTCTGTCTAGTTTTCTTCAGTAGTAGTTTTCTGATTGGATACTAACTTGAAATTTCATGTTTTCAATCACATCTGTAATGTGACAAATGCATCTCGAACAACAGAGGAGAAAAGCTTCTTTATTCCTGCAAATTTCTTTATAACTACCTACTGTACTCCAGTACCAGATTGGATACAAACAATAATTTCGGCGAAATTGTATGCAAAGTTATCGGTAGATCGCACAACTCACCGTTATTTACAGCAACCACAGTCAGATTACCGCTATTGATGCCTTGAAATGAACTTTAGTTGCAAGAAAATGGATACACATATCATAAATGGTGTACCATGACTCACTAAAAGTCATATTTGAGGCAAGTTTGACTATTAAATGTCAGCATTATGTTTTCGCAATCGAAATACATGTAACTTCTTTCAGTGGCATTTAGAAGTTGGTCTGATGAAGTAAGACGATTTCTATGGAGGAACAACTTCTTTATTACAATTAGTGCGACGTTTCGGTGTAGATCCTACCACCTTTATCAAGCAAGTGATGGATAGTGCTTACTTACTTACTTTGGAGATTTAACGTGTGCTTTCCGACTGATGCGTATTTCGCACACGGGCCCGGCCAGGCCAATTAATGTGTTTCCGAAAGGGGCGAAAGTGGTGTGTGCAACCCAAGAGGGGGCTTTAGGGGTTGCTTATATAGAATTTGGGAATTTTGAGATTTGGAATAGATGCCGATAGGATTGGGGAGGAGAACTAAGGGAGCTGGGTATGGTGGATGTTTGTTTGTTTATGTAATTTTGATTTGGTAGATTATAGTGTTTTTAGATGCGTTTTATTAGTTCTGTTTTGATTAAGAATACGCCTAAGGCCTTGAAGTTTTCTAGTTTATTTTGTGGGTTTAGTATTGCTTCTAGAGTGAGAGCCTTGTTTAGATTGAGGGTGGTTTGTAATGCGGTTCGATGTGTTAGGTAGTGTGTGCAGTGGATGAGTGCATGTTCTGGGGTTTCTAGTTGTTTGCAGTGTGGGCAGTTACCTGTATAATGTTTTTTAAATTTTTTAGGTGGTTATTTAGGTTGGTGTGTCCTGTTTGGAGTTTAGTGATTACTCTGTCGATTTTTTTTGATGGATGGAGAATTTTTGGTTTGGTTAGTGGTTTGCTGAGTACTTTTTTGATTTGGCTATTTGAGTTTAGATATAGGTTACGCCATTTTTTGGTGATTTTTTGCTTGTTTACGCTTTTAATTTCTGATTTTGAGATGGGTAAGTTTAAGCTTATTTCTGGGATTTTGAGGGATAGTTTAGCTGCCTTATCAGCGTTTTCATTACCGTATATTCCTACGTGGGCGGGTATCCACAAGAAGGGTATTTGTTTGCCTGCCTTAGTTAGGTCGTTGGAGCTTTTAAGTATTTGATTTATTAATTAAGGTCGGTTTTTGGTATTTTTGTTTTGGAGGGCTTGTAGTCCACTTAGGGAGTCGGTAAGTATTAGGATTTTTTTGTGGTTTTTGGATTCTTGATTATGGAGGGCTGAGGCCATGCCCATTAGTTCTGCCGTGAATATTGATTGGTTGTTTGGGAGTCGGAAGGATTGTGTGGTTTTAGTTGGTTGTGTGGTATGGACTCCGAAACCTGTGTGTTTGGAGGTCGGATCTGAAGATCCTGGATAGTGCTAAACAACATAGGTATATATACTTTAACATCAAAGTTTATACAGTAAATGATTGATGGACACAGAGAGCTTATTAAGATAATTGGAAGCCAGTGGATGACTAATGAACACAGAGTCAACAAGCAGACTGATAGAGATGATGGAAGCCAGTGGATTAATTGGATGGACATAGGGATTTAGCAATTAGGTGATGGTAAGCAGGCGGGATGTAATAGCCTTGGTCTCTGTTCATTGCTGGCTGGATCCTTTTGATACAGATGGCTTCTAAGAGTTTCCTGATTTTGTAGTCCGATTGATTGTTGGCCAGGATCTTGATGTTGTTCCACTGGATGTTGTGGTCGGGGTGGGTTTGGGTGTGGTCGGAGATGGCTGATTTTGAGTAATTTTTTTGTACTGAGGTCTTGTGTTCTTTTATTCTAATGGGTAGGGGCCTGCATGTTTCACCTACATAGGAGTCGCCACAGTCACATTGTATGTGATAAATGGCACCAGCTGGGTCTTCTTTCTTTGATGTACATGATGTAGGGGGCTTGCCATTGGCACTGAGGATGTTCTGGATTGTCCTGCCTCTGTAGAATACTGTATCAATGTTGGCATGGTGTTTGAGCAGTCTGCAGATCTGGTGGCTGGCTGTTCCTATGTAGGGAAGACTGATGACAAACAGGGCTGGCTGTTGTCGTGGAGGCCGCTCTCTGGCTTGATAAAGGTGTTAGGATCTACACCGAAACGTCGCACTAATTATAATAAAGAAGTTGTTCATCCATAGAACTCGTCTTACTTGAAATACATGTAGCACGGGAAGCCCCTACGGTGACTGGTCAAAATCGTTCCATACATAAAAAATTATCCTGCATACCATCTGTACCAAAGTGCTACACTTATGGTTCTTATAATTTTAAGTATATATGGTGGAAGCTGCAACTAAAATAACAGGATATTGGAGTATATTATTCCTGATGAAATAATAATTTCAGATACAATTTCTTCCGACCATTGCATCAAAATTCTTTGAAGATCTATCACTGGGTACGTTTTAACTGAATCACCGGTAGATTGGGAGGAAACGTATGCACAGCTGATTGCTATTTCCGGCTTAGTTTACGAGAAAATACACACGGTAATCTTAATCTCTGCATAAAAAACAATGTCTTGGAGAGCAGGAAATACATTTTAAATGGTAAATCATCATGTCTAGTGATGTTTTATATCAAAGTTCATACTTTTACTGACCAAGTTTAATATACCTGTTTATTCACCTGAAGTCGTTGAAGGGATATGATAACGCTCATCAATTATTTGGACCCCAAAGGTAGTGTTGTTTGTATTTTAAAATGTCCGGACAGAAAAATTTAAATGTCCGGTAGGCAATATTTTAAATGGAAAGTACAGACTGTCATGTAAATCTTCTAGATGGGCACTTATTTACATCTTGTACACTGATGTGTTACATGGAAAGTACAGACTTTCATGTAAATCTTCTAGATTGGTATGGTGTGCTTATAAAGATTACAGTACAGGCTGGTCTAGAAGTTGGTTGGGGGTGGGGCACTTGATCGTGCTAAGATAGAGAAGACAGTATTCTAAAGCTGCTCCTGTCTTGAAGTATTGTCTCCTAGGGCTGCTTGTGTATCACTACAAGTATAACATGTTGGACGTGACATTTGTTCACTGACTGCAACTACCAACACATGTATATGACATACATATTTTCCACACGACCTTGATGACAGCATTTGTACAGAGTTTGAGGCTGCAAGTCTGGCCGTTGCCCTTGGCATCACTTTCAGTAGGTTTCAATGTCAGTATATTGACAATTATTAGCTGAGTTTACTACTAGACATGATAAACCAAATAGAAATTACAGGCTGCCATCATAGAGCTGCAGTACTTCTGAGTGAGGCGTTAAACAACAAAGAAACAAAGAAACAAAACACTTTAGCCTGTCTTCAAACTCGTGGCTTAAGTCACAAACTGATGTTTGTTATATAAACATGATAGTCCTGAAGAGTTGGCCAAACATTGAGGATATGTGTTTGTTTCAGCATGTTTAGAGATTAAACATGAATTACTTCTTCATTTCTGTGTTTCAACTTGTTATTCATATATTAAGTGTTGTGTTTATCAAAACTCCTACACATATAATTAATATGTTTTGGTTGTGAAGTGTGAAAACAGACATTAATATTGGATTGTTGTTGCTTGCTTTATCATGTTAAAAATGAACATAGATTTGCTATGGTAATTGGTTCATACATCTCAAATCTTGCTTTCATCTTATGATATATTTCTTGCATCCCATAACATCTTGTACTATTCATCTTAACTTCTGTCTTCAATGCCATTTTCAAACCAGCACCACATATTTCTGTTACTGTGGATACATTATTCCTATCTACTGTTACCATGGTTACAAATTTGTTGTCAACTGTCAACCATGGTTACATTATTCCTGTCGACTGTTTGTGGTAACCATCATCGTGGTAAGTTCATTCATTGATAACCCATTATCTTTTCCAGGTGTCTGTCAAGATGACTTTAATGGAATTCTTCGGGTGTACATTCATTGCCTTTGGTCCCCCATTGGCAATGTTTGTTTTCACTATTGCCAGGGATCCCCTCAGGGTCATTGTACTGATAGCAGGGTAAGTGAATTGACAACATTCAACCAGGATAGCAGGGTAAGTGAATTGACAACATTCCACCAGGATAGCAGGGTAAGTGAATTGACAACATTCAACCAGGAAAGCAGGGTAAGTGAATTGACAACATTCAACCAGGATAGCAGGGTAAGTGAATTGACAACATTCAACCAGGATAGCAGGGTAAGTGAATTGACAACATTCAACCAGGATAGCAGGGTAAGTGAATTGACAACATTCAACCAGGATAGCAGGGTAAGTGAATTGACAACATTCAACCAGGATAGCAGGGTAAGTGAATTGACAACATTCAACCAGGATAGCAGGGTAAGTGAATTGACAACATTCAACCAGGATAGCAGGGTAAGTGAATTGACAACATTCAACCAGGATAGCAGGGTAAGTGAATTGACAACATTCAACCAGGATAGCAGGGTAAGTGAATTGACAACATTCAACCAGGATAGCAGGGTAAGTGAATTGACAACATTCAACCAGGATAGCAGGGTAAGTGAATTGACAACAATGAACCAGGATAGCAGGGTAAGTGAATTGACAACAATGAACCAGGATAGCAGGGTAAGTGAATTGACAACATTCAACCAGGATGCAGGGTAATTCAAGCAATGTCAAGTATTTTATTTTTATTTTTTTATGTTTCTGTCTCGCCTGTTTTGTTGTGTAGATATGACCCGTGATCTTGGTTAGAATGGGTCTTCAACTACCCATGCAACTAACGGGATCGGATGGTTAAGCTCGCTGACTTGGTTGATGCATGTCATTGTATCCCAATTGCGTAGATTGATGTTCATGATGTCAATCACTGTATTGTCTGGTCCAGACTCGAATATTTACATTGTGAGTGCAGTGTTAAAACAAACAAACAAAAACAAATGATGTGTAGATATGTCAAACCATTTATCATGTTTATGAGAGGTATTCTGAATGTTTTCTTCTAATTTCTATGCCAATCCAATTATTATCTTTATGACTTCAGGGCATTCTTCTGGTTGCTAGCGCTGCTGATATCCTCCATACTGTGGTACGCTGTGGTTCCCCTCCAGAATGATCTGGCGTTCGGGCTGGTTTTCTCAGTCATTTTCCAAGAGCTGTTCAGATTCCTCTTCTACAAACTTTTAAGGTAAAGATTGCCTTTCAACGGTCTCCTATAATGCTTCACCTCCACGGTACAGCCTTCGGTCCTGATCCCGGTGTTGCCTGTTCAAGGTGTTCTGTTGTCAAGTAGAAGAGACGGAAGTGATTTAAAAAGTTGCAAGTTTTGGAATTATTAGAACACCAAATGCATACTGATGGCTGTGAATTTATGTGAACATGGTGAAAGTTGTTATGTTAATAATTAGAAAAAAACATCCAACTGTCTCTAAAATAATCCTTTTGACAAGAGGTGGATCGTGATTTTTTACTGCTCGATACAAGTATCGAACACACTCAACCACTAAGTAGAAAATATCAATTCTTACCTCAAATGTTTGCTTTTATAACTGTTACACGAAGCACTAATTAGTAGTGCAAGTTAATTGTGAAAAAGTCAATATTTTCATCTGTAAATCGTTAGTGTGTCAGGAATTTTGCAGTCCTGTCTCAGAATAAGATGGCTTACTGACCACAGATAAGGGCACATGCAAGTATTGTGTAATGTATTGGATAGTGAGTAAGGTATTGTGATGTTTATCAGATCGCACAGTTGGTGTATGGTCCCAGCCCTATTTCTGACACACTTGTGCTTACCAGGTTATCATACAGCATGAAGGAAACCATTATCTTACCTCCATGTCAGATTATTGAGAGCTGATTGGTTCACATGTTCTTGATAAAATATATGTACCCTGCCTGGGAGGGGAATACATTTCTGAGTGGGAGAATAAATCCCTTATACCCCGCTGGGAAGATAAGAGGCTGCACGTGGATGTATGAGTTTGAGAATAAATCCCTTATACCCCGCTGGGAAGATAAGAGGCTGCACGTGAATGTCTGAGTGGCAGGATAAATCCCTTATACCCCGCTGGGAAGATAAGAGGCTGCACGTGGATGTCTGAGTGGGAGAATAAATCCCTTATACCCCGCTGGGAAGATAAGAGGCTGCACTTGAATGTCTGAGTGGGAGAATAAATCCCTTATACCCCGCTGGGAAGATAAGAGGCTGCACGTGGATGTCTGAGTGGCAGGAGAAATCCCTTATACCCCGCTGGGAAGATAAGAGGCTGCACGTGGATGTCTGAGTGGCAGGACATGTTGTTCATGTGTCAATGAAAGTCATGTGACACAGTGCAAGTTAACCTCAGCTTAGTTGTACAGCTGTTTTCTATCAATTTTGAATTTGTTTTAATTCTTTTACAATGGCAGATATAAAATGTCAATAAGATAAATTTGTTGTAGCAGTATCACTTGGGGTATATGCAGTTTATGTGTCCCCAGTTAGGTTTTATACCACTTGCCTCATGCTCAAACCACATGTACCACACGGGATACTGCTACAACTTATAATGTTAGAACCCGTGAAGCTGTCCCCTGATGTGATCTGCACACACTCACCTGGTGTCTTACCTGGATGTTTTGAATGAATTGATTGATTTATTTGATCTTATTTAACATTTTGTTGTGTATATTCCTTGTTTCCAGGAGGGCTGATGAAGGCCTTCAGAAAGTTAGTCTGACAGCTCAGACAGAAAACGTCACGCCTAAAGACATCTCCAATAAGCACATCATGGCCTATGGTAAGACTCATGCATTGATGTGTGTTATATAAATCAAAGATTTGCCTAAGTGATGTGTAGCAGAGATTTGATAGACTTGGTAGCTATGGAAATATCCAGATCATTGGTCTTAATTCAGTATGGGTGTAGGCCATAATTGGTTCATAATTAAATACTTCAACTCTTGTCTTTTCTAAATAATAGTTAACTGATAATTCCACACAATATTGTTCCAAGACATTATTTCACTTTTGTAACCCAAAAATTGTGTCAGAAAATAATTGTACATCATCTGCAAAAAGCGGTAAAAACAACTGAGTCAATTCATGATGTAATTGTGTACCTGGATAACATGAAATTTCTAATTCATTGTCTGAATCAATGATAATTATGTAAAACAGAAACAGAATTAAAACACATCCTTGGCAAACACCATCATTACATTCAAAAGTTTCCTCTGAAAATGTATGATTAGCTTTAGCACAAGATTTTATACTATCATAAATGGATTTAATAGATCCAAACATCTTAGGAGAAATGTGTTTTTGTTTTAATACTAACCAGAGTTTGGCTCTGTCAACTGGATCAAACACCTTAGAAAAAATTGAATATAATATACTTTTCTCTTTTGACAACATAGATTTACAATAAAATGCAAAATGAAAATATTATCAGTACATGAATTGCCAAAAACATGTGATTCAGTACTTTATGTGATGCAGTTCACCAGAAGTCTAGTCTATTATTTAATATTGCAATGTATGACAAATGTTATATTTGAGATAACACTTTCTTAGTTAAGTACAGATAGTACTTTTTTGGGTTCAGTCCCATCCGTGATTTGAATCCACACTGCCAGAGTGAGGCACCTAATCGCCAGCACACAATGTCAGCCATCTAACCCACTCAGCCACTGAAGCTTCCACAAAAATGAAAGTCTGACAACTGGTAGTCGAGATGATGTAATTTGTGTACCCCTCTGACAAGTCATACAAGTGTGCTGGCGATTAGGTGCCTCATTCTGAATACTAAGAAAGTGTTATCCCCAAATACCATACATTACATTTGACTTTCTGAATGTGTGTGTTCATTGCTCTGTATGATTTACTAAAAACACTAAGTACTGTACTTCATCTATGATTTGAGGCAGAATGGAAATCAATATCAATGAAGATGTGGTTTGGTTAACACTCTGTTACACATAATAGATTCTTGACCAATGTGACTTTGATTGGATTACAGTGTCTGGTCTAGGCTTTGGCATCATGTGTGGGGCGTTCTCCCTCATCAACGTGCTCGCAGACATGGTTGGTCCAGGCACAATTGGTATCCATGGAGATTCTCACCTCTTTTTCCTCACGTCAGGTAAATATCTTACCAACCTGTTACCCTGTGGCGATTCCAAATCACTGTATCTCCTGCTTTCAATCCATGGTTTGCCTGCTCCAGATTGATGTATTAGTCACCATGATATATGATATATTAGTCACCATGATATATAACGTATTAGTCACCATGATATATAACGTATTAGTCACCATGATATATAACGTATTAGTCACCATGATATATGATGTATTAGTCACCATGATATATGATGTATTAGTCACCATGATATAGTTGACATATTCATGACTATTACATTCAACAACTTTCATGAATTCACACACGTTCATGACAGTGCCCTTTGCAACACTATACCTTCTCTGTTGCAGTGTTCGTGACTGTGTGTTCCCCACTGTGACACTATATATTCTCTGTTCCAGCGTTCCTGACTGTGTGTTCCCCACTATCACACTATACCTTCTATGTTGCAGTGTTCCTGACTGTGTGTTCCCCACTATCACACTTTACCTTCTCTGTTCCAGCGTTCCTGACTGTGTGTTCCCCACTATCACACTTTACCTTCTCTGTTCCAGCGTTCCTGACTGTGTGTTCCCCACTATCACACTTTACCTTCTCTGTTGCAGTGTTCCTGACTGTGTGTTCCCCACTATCACACTCAATATTCTCTGTTGCAGTGTTCCTGACTGTGTGTTCCCCACTATCACACTCAATATTCTCTGTTGCAGTGTTCGTGACTGTGTGTTCCCCACTATCACACTCAACATTCTCTGTTGCAGTGTTCGTGACTGTGTGTTCCCCACTATCACACTCAACATTCTCTGTTGCAGTGTTCGTGACTGTGTGTTCCCCACTATCACACTCAACATTCTCTGTTGCAGTGTTCGTGACTGTGTGTTCCCCACTATCACACTCAATATTCTCTGTTGCAGTGTTCGTGTCTGTGTGTTCCCCACTATCACACTCAACATTCTCTGTTGCAGTGTTCGTGACTGTGTGTTCCCCACTATCACACTCAATATTCTCTGTTGCAGTGTTCGTGTCTGTGTGTTCCCCACTATCACACTCAACATTCTCTGTTGCAGTGTTCGTGACTGTGTGTTCCCCACTATCACACTCAACATTCTCTGTTGCAGTGTTCGTGACTGTGTGTTCCCCACTATCACACTATACCTTCTCTGTTGCAGCGTTCCTGACTGTGTGTTCCCCACTATCACACTTTACCTTCTCTGTTGCAGTGTTCGTGAATGTGTGTTCCCCACTATCACACTATACCTTCTCTGTTGCAGTGTTCGTGAATGTGTGTTCCCCACTATCACACTCAATATTCTCTGTTGCAGTGTTCGTGACTGTGTGTTCCCCACTATCACACTCAACATTCTCTGTTGCAGTGTTCGTGACTGTGTGTTCCCCGCTATCACACTCAACATTCTCTGTTGCAGTGTTCGTGACTGTGTGTTCCCCGCTATCACACTCAACATTCTCTGTTGCAGTGTACGTGACTGTGTGATCCCCACTATCACACTCAATATTCTCTGTTCCAGCATTCCTGATTGTTCCCCACTATCACACTAAACATGCTCTGTTCTAGACTGTGTGTTCCCCACTATCACACTATATATTCTCTGTTCCAGCGTTCCTGACTGTGTGTTCCCCACTATCATACTATACATTCTCTGTTCCAGCGTTCCTGACTATTCCCCACTATCACACTATGTATTCTCTGTTCCAGACTGTGTGTTCCCCACTGTGACACTATACATTCTCTGTTCCAGTGTTCCCCACTATCACACTATACATTCTCTGTTCCAGTGTTCCTGACTGTGTGTTCCCCACTATCACACCAAACATTCTCTGTTGCAGACTGTGTGTCCCCCACTATGACACTATATATTCTCTGTTCCAGCGTTCCTGACTGTGTGTTCCCCACTATCACACTAAACATTATCTGTTCCAGACTGTGTGTTCCCCACTATGACACTATATATTCTCTGTTCCAGCGTTCCTGACTGTGTGTTCCCAACTATCACACTAAACATTATCTGTTCCAGACTGTGTGTTCCCCACTGTGACACTATATATTCTCTGTTCCAGCATTCCTGACTGTGTGTTCCCCACTATCACACTAAACATTCTCTGTTCCAGACTGTGTGTTCCCCACTATCACACTCAACATTCTCTGTTGCAGTGTTCGTGACTGTGTGTTCCCCACTATCACACTCAACATTCTCTGTTGCAGTGTTCGTGACTGTGTGTTCCCCACTATCACACTCAACATTCTCTGTTGCAGTGTTCGTGACTGTGTGTTCCCCACTATCACACTCAACATTCTCTGTTGCAGTGTTCGTGACTGTGTGTTCCCCACTATCACACTCAATATTCTCTGTTGCAGTGTTCGTGTCTGTGTGTTCCCCACTATCACACTCAACATTCTCTGTTGCAGTGTTCGTGACTGTGTGTTCCCCACTATCACACTCAACATTCTCTGTTGCAGTGTTCGTGACTGTGTGTTCCCCACTATCACACTATACCTTCTCTGTTGCAGAGTTCCTGACTGTGTGTTCCCCACTATCACACTTTACCTTCTCTGTTGCAGTGTTCGTGACTGTGTGTTCCCCACTATCACACTCAATATTCTCTGTTGCAGTGTTCGTGACTGTGTGTTCCCCACTATCACACTCAACATTCTCTGTTGCAGTGTTCGTGACTGTGTGTTCCCCGCTATCACACTCAACATTCTCTGTTGCAGTGTTCGTGACTGTGTGTTCCCCGCTATCACACTCAACATTCTCTGTTGCAGTGTTCGTGACTGTGTGATCCCCACTATCACACTCAATATTCTCTGTTCCAGCATTCCTGATTGTTCCCCACTATCACACTAAACATGCTCTGTTCTAGACTGTGTGTTCCCCACTATCATACTATACATTCTCTGTTCCAGCGTTCCTGACTGTTCCCCACTATCATACTATACATTCTCTGTTCCAGCGTTCCTGACTGTGTGTTCCCCACTATCATACTATACATTCTCTGTTCCAGCGTTCCTGACTGTTCCCCACTATCACACTATGTATTCTCTGTTCCAGACTGTGTGTTCCCCACTGTGACACTATACATTCTCTGTTCCAGTGTTCCCCACTATCACACTATACATTCTCTGTTCCAGTGTTCCTGACTGTGTGTTCCCCACTATCACACCAAACATTCTCTGTTGCAGACTGTGTGTTCCCCACTATGACACTATATATTCTCTGTTCCAGCGTTCCCGACTGTGTGTTCCCCACTATCACACTAAACATTATCTGTTACAGACTGTGTGTTCCCCACTGTGACACTATATATTCTCTGTTCCAGCATTCCTGACTGTGTGTTCCCCACTATCACACTAAACATTCTCTGTTCCAGACTGTGTGTTCCCCACTATCACACTAAACATTCTCTTTTCCAGACTGTGTGTTCCCCACTATCACACTATATATTCTCTGTTCATGACTGTGTGTTCCCCACTATCACACTAAACAATCTCTGTTCCAGACTGTGTGTTCCCCACTATCATACTATATATTCTCTGTTCCAGCATTCCTGACTGTGTGTTCCCAACTATCATACTATACATTCTCTGTTCCAGCATTCCTGACTGTTCCCCACTATCACACTATGTATTCTCTGTTCCAGACTGTGTGTTCCCCACTGTGACACTATATATTCTCTGTTCCAGCGTTCCTGACTGTGTGTTCCCCACTATCACACTAAACAATCTCTGTTACTGTTTGTGACTGTGTGTTCCCCACTATCACACTAAACATTCTCTGTTCCAGTGTTCCTGACTGTGTGTTCCCCACTATCACACTAAACATTCTCTGTTCCAGACTGTGTGTTCCCCACTGACACTTTATTCTCTGTTCCAGCGTTCCTGACTGTTCCCCACTATCACACTATATATTCTCTGTTCCAGTGTTGCAGACTGTGTGTTCCCCACTATCACACTATATATTCTCTGTTCCAGCGTTCCTGACTGTGTGTTCCCCACTATCACACTAAACATTCTCTGTTAGTGTTCGTGACTGTGTGTTCCCCACTATCACACCAAACATTCTATGTTCCAGCGTTCCTGACTGTTCCCCACTATCACACAATATATTCTCTGTTCCAGCGTTCCTGACTGTGTGTTCCCCACTATCACACTAAACATTCTCTGTTAGTGTTCGTGACTGTGTGTTCCCCACTATCACACTATATATTCTCTGTTGCAGTGTTCCTGACTGTTCCCCACTATCACACTATATATTCTCTGTTGCAGTGTTCCTGACTGTTCCCCACTGTGACACTATATATTCTCTGTTCCAGCGTTCCTGACTGTGTGTTCCCCGCTATCACACTATATATTCTCTGTTCCAGTGTTCGTGACTGTGTGTTCCCCACTATCACACTAAACATTCTCTCTTCCAGCGTTCCTGACTGTTCCCCACTATCACACTATATATTCTCTTTTCCAGCATTCCTGACCCTGTGTTTCATCTTGCTGCACACATTCTGGGGTGTCATTTTCTTCCATGCCCTGGACAAGAAGCAGTATGTGGTGGTAGCCGGTGTTGTAGCCTCACACATGCTGGTGTCCTGCCTGGTGAGTGCTTGTCTTGTATTCCTCATGTCCATCTGCATTATTTCATCAAGGTTGTACAAGCTCAACCCCAGCATGTGACACCTTCGTTACACTCTCGGTAACATCGCTGACATCAGTGTGGAAGTAGCCATAACAAGAATCTTGAAATTTGTCTTTGAACCCCCAAAGTAGTCACATTTTTCGGGGGCTTATGTCTTTAGGAATGCCATCATAGTGAACTTTGAAAAGGTTTACGACTGATCAGATTTCACAGATGAATTTACGTTTAGTTTGTTTAATCAGATTGGTTCGAGATTGCAGACGAATGGAAAATTAACCTACTTCCCCCTTACATTCCTATGATACCAATTGCATCATAATTGAAATGAAATAGAAATTGAAATTGGCAAACAAAGAAAATAATTTAGATGGGGTAAGAGTATTAGCCGTCACAACACTTGTTTGTAAACATTATGGTCTGTTGGTTGAAAGTTCAACTCCGGGCATAGTTGTGGCCACCCAACACAGAGGGGAGCTTTGACTGGTGGTAGCGATAGTATTGAGACCTCTGTGAATGGGCTATCGCTGTGAGGAGCTTGAAGGTTGTAATGCCAAGGGCAGGTACCTCTTGCTGCACATCAGTGGCATGCACAGATGTGTTTCTGTGATGAGGGAATCTGCAGTGTTTATTTACATTTTGTATGCTGTACTAAAGTTAAGACATAAGTTAAGGTGTTAGAAGGGGAGAGGATGGACATATGTTGACTTACTTAGCATTCTTTACTGAACAACTTCCATAGACTTGAGGTAGTGTGTCGATGGGTGTATCCAAGTAAAGTCATGAGAGCTGCTCTTTGACACAATATGTGACTGGCTGATGATGTGTCATAGTTCCCAAATGACATGGACCTTTCAGCAGCCCTATATACAACAGTGGAAATGCCTTTAGGTTCCTCAATGTGCCAGTCAGGGGAAGCTACTTCAATCTGCTAGGAGGTTGTAGGAGGCATTCATTTCACCATGGTGGGAAGTTTCAGGAAAAGGTGTTTATGCGGCTGGTTCTGTGTTTTTTGCTTGTAATTCAATCACCTTTCTATTTTATGACACATTTTGGAGGCATAGATGTCCCAATCGTCGAGGTGGTGTATTTGCAGAATAACATCCCTTTAGTGGCCAGGATCCAGTGATCATGGGCTTTATATCCTGGATTCACCCTAATTATTTTCCTTGGTTGGCAGCAGATTACCCATGCTCAGGGGTTTCACCAAACTGGTAAACGTTTAAGACCTGCATTAGGACCTGCTTTCCCCCACAACAAGCTGAAACATAATTTAGCTGAAACATTGTTCAAAGCAGCATTAAACCCAACTCAATTGGCATCAATATAATTCTATTACTGATTGGTCATTGTTACACTATTGCTTTAGCAACCTTGTCACGCACTTATTTGATGATATTCCTGTGTTGCAGTCTCTTCTCAACGAGAGGACAAAGTACCGCCCGGAACCACTCTACCTCGCCAGCATCGTGCCAGCTTACTTCATTATGATCCTCATGGCCGTCGTGGCCTTCTTCGTGGCAGGCGGGTCTCTCCAGAATGTACAGAATGCCTTCAAGTGCAGGAAAGGGAGATATGAAATGGAATGAAGAATGGTGTAGGATGATCCTATTCCTCAAAGCATGGAAGAGTTATCATGTGAAATTATCATTATGAAGCTAGGCTCTGCACAATCTGTTGACACCTTTTGAATTCTTTTCCCTGAAAATTATGTTTGTATATTTCCTTCTTTTCTGGAAACAGACATCTTCTTTGTTTACATACAGAGAATGAAGATTTTTGTCCTGGCTTACAGGCACTTGATGACACCCAGGAACAACTTCGGAATCCAGAAACAAGACCTGCCAAACTATGTATTTCTTACACTAGCCAGGCCAGCCCAGTGGTCTAAGGCACCACAATTGGCTGTGCAAAGTCTGACACTTGATTCTCTGGTTCTGGCTTCAAATATGAGAATGACCCCAGATGTGATCCTTGGTTTGTTGGTAACATGCTCAGTAAACCTCGACCACTGGTGTTCTTATAAGGAATAATGTGCGGCTTATTAAGGACAAGGTGTTTTGATTTATTTCATATTTGAATTTTTTTTTTTTTTTATTATATACAAACTCTCTGTACCAATGTGGCACCACATTTAAGTCATGGGGACAGTCAGTCCTGTATTCAGAAGCACATGTCCAGTGAGCTCTTGCAGCATGAACCTATATGAGATATCATTGATCCTGGTGACTACGTGACAAGGAGTGTGGCCTGGCTGGCTGGCCGCTGTGTGGAGCAGCATGCTCCTCATGTGGAGCCTTCATCATGTTGATGGGCAGATCAATATTTTCTGTAATTTCACATTCATATTTTGACTAATGTATATATTCCATTTTAATTATTTTGTTCCCAGCAATTGTACAGTGTTGTATAATGAGTGTTTTGTTGATTGTTTGTATCCATTCATGGACTGTGATGAGGACACACCTTTCTGTCTGTGGATGTTTTGTATGTCCGGCACAGCAGATATGTTTGCAATCAACCTATGTACAACTGCAACTAAAAGTGTTCTTTGTACCATTATAGAGATTATGTTAAGACTTAGTATTTTTGGACATTTTGGTCGTCAACACAGCGTCTGTAATGATTATAAGGATCAAACCGCTGTCTTTTCCATTATCTTTACAGAGAGGTGTATGATTTGGATCACCGCAAACTTGAACAGATTTATTAATGGCAAACTTCAAATGACTTCAAACTTGAAATAGATGCCATTTGTCCCTAACATTATTAAATATTTGTTGCGTTCCTCAAAGTCAAACATCTTTTATCTTCCTTTCCAATGACTTACCTTTCCCAAAACACCAGTTGTATGCTACACAGTCTCATTGGTTCACAGGGACCAACAATTAACCCTTCTCCTGGGGACTCTGGTGTCCAGTGGGATGCGATGCAGGACAGTGTCGGTATCAATACAGACCTACCCATGTTTCTTGGAGCATCTTTGTTCAATGTTCACCTTAGGATTGAAAAATCTGGATGTATCAGAATTATCTTTGTTTTCTTATTATATTATGTCCCTTGAATAGGAATTCATTGAAATGTATGTGGTCCCATGTTGTTATTTTGAAACTGGTCTATTGTGTTGAAAGTATGGGTGACCCAGTGTTCCTACCTGTCTGTCTGTGGGTTCCAACACAGTTGTAACCCCTGGAAATGGTCTTTCGTTTGAATGCACCCAACTCATAGTATTCAATATCTGTGACCCATGTCATCTTTGGGCTTTCTTCCCAGATTGATATCCTACTTATTTGACTGAAATACTTTTATATTTCCAATGTAACTCACTCTTTCCATGGTCGAAGTAAATCCAGATTTTGAATTACAGCTTCAGGAATTTCAATGTACTCAGCATCTTCCCGAGGCAAGGGAGATAACTGACCATAACAGTCCAGTTTCCACCCTTGCCGAACTAGGATGGAATTCCGGAGTTATAGTTTGGCTGGACAAACCAGTTTATGCATAGTCCAATCAAAATTGCGTAATCAACTAGTCACCAAGTTCATAAACAACATGGATTTCAAAGTGCAGATTTCGGTCGACTGCAGGATTTCCAAAGCATGTGTTCAATGAGCTGGTCATCGACGGATATTTTCAAAATCTTTTCATGTTTTAAATCAAGGTGCTCAAGTGATTTTGCACACCTCGCAAGGTTTTGTAACAATATAGATTGTGATTATCGATCAGATTTTCTTGACTGAGCGCTGCCATTTTGTTTGAAGCATATGCAAGTGATAAGATAGGTGGACTCTTATTGGTCAATAGGAGGGACATAGAAGGGACTTAACTCGTAATATCCACTGGTGGCGCTACGATTGAGCCACGAAATTGCGGCGTAGTTTGGCGAGGGTGGAAACTGGAGTTTCAGTTAACTCCCTTGCCTCAGGAGGATGTGTCCTCAGCTGTTGTGTAATGCAGTGAGAGTTGATATTCAGGAGCACATCCACAGCTATGTCAGTGCTCAGTTTGTATATAGATCACTAGGTCTAGTCACTCTCAGGAGAGATTCAGAGGAATGAGACTTTCAATACAAATATGGTAACAATTCCTTCAGCTCTGTGTACACAATTGTTTGAATTGGTAAGAAAAGTAGAGAAAATCAATATATATATTTGAATATTCATTTATTTGTTAAATACATACAAACATAACAATTCTAGATGAACCTAGATGAAGCATTATGTGAGTGCATAAGAAGGGCAGTTCTGTGTCTTAGTTGCAGATAGCAACTGAATGTTTTTATAAAAATTAATCCTGTGGTCAATACCAGTTTGCTAAATGTAGTATTGATTTGCTTGTCAATGCAAAAAACCAAACTTAATCCTTATGTTTGCAGAGGTAACTCTAAAGTCTGCGCTTGTTTGTCCGTATTTCCCCTTGCCAGTGTTCACTGGACATTGAGATCCGTTCTAGTGATGTGTTAGGATGTGCTTTTGTTTCATATGGTGAAGTTGTATTGATAGCGTTAAACATTCCACAAGAATGATGTAATTGTATTTTGATAAAGATATTTCTGAGTAAATAAAGTGCTGTGTATATATATCATTTACTGTTATTGATACAAACACAACATTGACTAATGCAATAAAATGCTGAAAAAAAGAATGAAACAAACAGTTAGGTACTCAGTTCCAGTAAATGACATTATACCTGTCATGTGTAGCACTGAGAAATTGTGTCTGTGTAGTGAAGACCATCTTTTACAAGCTGTAGTGACATACAACATTAAAATATAGTGTTAGAGAGACTAATATATTTCCGTTTGCTCAGACCATAGATTGTTTATTGTACATAGGAAAAATACTAAGGTAGTGAATGCTAATACAACACATTTCCATGAAGAGGTAGTAACAAAAAGTGCATTGGATTCCATATTCCAATGGGAGTGAGTGATTGGCAGGAGGATATTCCGTAGGGCAAAGTAGACATGGGTCGGTGTTCCAAGGACTCCAAGATGAGGATGGTTGGTGAACATGCCTTCAGATCTTCACAAAAATGGTTTTGTCCATCTTTTTTTATCAACATTGCTGAAACAAGTGTATCCATGGATACCTGTTAGTTTGTTTAGAGGAGTTCTAGAAAAGTTCTTTACGATGACATCTGATCTCTTGAGCATTTCCAGATCAGGATTACAATAGGATCCCTCCCTGTAAATCGTGATACTGATAAGTCGTTTCTTCATGATGTGTGAAGAAATTATTTTTCAAGACACGTTATGTGTGTAACAGTACAGGGAGTTTGACTTTAAAATGCAAACCAAGCTGTCATTCGTCTAATGTTGTAGTACAAGATGTTGTTGTATGTGCACCTGATGAATACATTAGGCACGTCATAGTGTCCTGGATACCTGGTCTTCAAACTTTGGCCATAAAAGTATTGAAGGTTATTGTTATTGGTGGGGTTAAACCTTACAACTTGCAAGAAAACACACGACATAGTAACAGTTGCAAGATTCAGAGGCTATATTTGAATAAAGTCTAACACAACAGGTGAGCAGGTCGATGTGGAGATGCCAATTTATTAAAAATAAAATTTCCTCAAATGTAACTGATGTTTAGCAGAGTGTTCCCTCTTATATACATTATCTCTTCAAGTGAAACAGGTCTATTTACTTTAATACAGAGGTATAACGACATATGTGGAAATGAGACATCAATTAGTCATTGTCGTGCGATGTACATACATACATATATAGATTTAAAACATGCAGTATGTAATGAAACAATTTAGTACAATGTTTGCATGCTAATTTCCTGTTTGGTTCCATATTGTTTTCAATTATCATGATCATGAAACTTGCATGTTACTTTAATAGTGATGTTAATATATTTGACTATATACACTTTACAAGTGGTCTAAGCTGGTATTACAGGTAAAGGTTTCTGATCCAGGCAAGGGCAACCATGCCAGTGGCCAGTACGAGGTCACCAGTCAGTCGACCCTGCTTGTTGCCCTCTGTGTAGTGAATGCCCGCATCTGCAGAGAAGCGGTAGAAGGACAGTATTGCTTTGAGAACGTTTGTTTGTGATTGAAACAGTAATCTTGATGCACACATGGATGCAATACCATGGATCGTATTCCCATCTTATGACCTGCAGTTGTGAAAAAGTACTGTCTTCTACATTGAAAACCGGAACTGGAAGCTGACCGGGTCAACATGACGTCATCAGTGGTGCTGTGTAGTGTCATTACTATTGTGACAGAATTATTTGTTTGTTTGTTTGTTTGTTGTTTAACGCCGCACTCAGCAATATTCCAGCTATATGACGGTGGTCTGTAAATTATCGAGTCTTGACCAGACAATCCAGTGATTGACATTCTGAGCATCGATCCACGCAATTTGGATGATGACATGCTGCAACCAAGTAAGCGAGCCTGACCACCCGATCCCGTTAGTCGCCTTTTACAACAAGCATAGTCCTTTTAGGGCAAGCATGGGTTGCTGAAGGATAATCTAAACGGGTCGTGACGGAATTAAGCATAGCACGAATAATTTTTATAATGCGAGAATAATGTTTGCAATGCGAGAATAATGTTTGCAATGCGTCAACAATGCTATTTCATTACCCCAAGAATGTTATAATGCACGTGAACTCATTGTCATTAACTCGGTTATCGTGAACCATATGGGTTACGCACGGCTTTTCATCCTGGGTTCTAAATGCCAGTCAGATATGTCAACGGTGCCACGCATAAAACACGACTCCAAACTACTGGCAATGACGAGCAACTCCCAGCACATATACGATAACTACAGCGTCACATCAGTATGATAGACTACATAAGTAACTAAATGTAAAGAGCCAAATGTTTCTGTTTGGAAGTCCGAAAAAAGGAACAATGTTCTAACCTTTATCCCGAAGTGTGACAAATGTTTTATTTATGAACTTTCTTCGCAATTTTGTTGCTTCTTTCCATTAAATACAAAAGGAATTCGAAACGCCTGTCACTTAAAAACACATCTATCAGGTATAGTCCAGGTCCTTAGGGAGCCATTATGAGGTATTGTGCAGATGTGTCTACAAGCATCAAATTTTGCACAGGTGTAGACCAGAACATAATGAATCCATTTTTCGAGGGCGCCAAAGCCGGCGCTCATTGGGGCGGCCATATTGGCAAAATCCAAGATGGCCGCCAATCCCTATTTGATTTTTCCAAAAAATAACCAAAAGTCATAGGATCCTGAATTGAGGCGTTTTTTGTAGGTTTTTGATCTCAAGGCTTCCAAATGTGATCTTTGTTTTGATGTAGAAGTGCTTTTTGGCCAATTTAGTGGTTGAAAACATATTTTATTCAAATCAAATATCTTTTTTATGGTCATTTTACCTCACAGAAAAAGTTCACAAATGAGAAATAAAAAACCCATAACAAACTGAGCTTTGTTTTGACATACAAAATATGCTTTGGACAATTTAATTGTCAGAGTATTGAGGGCCAAAACCTCCTGGTTCAGGCTTAATTTTGATGCGACACAGTAATGTTATTTTCTGGTCTGAGACGATGAACTGCTTGGTTGTTGATGGTTTATATTATTGAACACATAAAGGTCACATAAATTGTTCCTTGCATGTATTTTGTTCTTCTTCCAGAAACGCTGAGAAATTTTGGCATGACTAATTGGGCATTACTCACGCATAGGTGGCCTATGTGGTTACTTGTCCAGTGAATGTGTTCATATTTTTCCGCCTTTGTAGGTGTGTTTAGCTGAATTGGGGAGAACAGTGGTGCTGGTGAAATAATAGTAAATTGTACCTGTGATATTGCGCCAACAATGAAAACACCAAAGGAGGAAGGACTTTTGACTCTTGACAGAGACCTGACTGCCTAAGAAAATCAATGCCGTTCCGTCTGGTATTACAGTCGCCTTTGATCATCAAAATGATGGATCATGTAATGCAGCAACACTCCGATCCAATAATGCTAAGTATCACAAAACGTGTAGGAGCTACTGTAGTAGTTCTCGTGTGAAGAGGCTGCGTCAAAAACATGAGGACAGTGCACAGAGTTCACCAAAAAAACTCAGATCAGCGGGGACATCACATGGAAAAGGCAGGGATGTCAAATGCTGCATTATTTGTGATGGAGATGACCAGACCAATTTACCCAAGGTGGCAACTGACAACGTAGATGCAAATCTAAAAAGCTGGGCAAAGTCAAATAATAATTTCAGGTTAATGGGTAAATTGATTGCACAAGCTGCAGATGCCCATGCTGGTGATGTTTTTTACAATGTCCAATGCTACTTGCATCTGCGAGACTGTGCAAACGCTGCTGATCGTCGAGCATCCACAAGCCCTGCTCCACCTGAGTTTCATCCAATTGCTACAGCGCAAATCGTAGCTCTTGTTGAGGATTCAGACTCAGTATATAAGCTATCAGCACTTCGGCAGATGTACCGAAAACTGATGGAAGAACAAGGAAGTCCCTGCCACGATACTAGGCAGCCACATTCAACAAGGTTTAAAGAGCATATTATCAATCTTCTTCCGGAATGGGCTGAGTTTTCACAGGGGAAGGAAATCTACATTTCTAATAATACAAAGATTGCAGATCTGCTCGCGAAAGCTCATGAGTCCCAACTTGGTCAAGATGATGCCCTTTTACTAATGCGGGCAGCGGTGATTTTGCGTAGGTGTTGTCTCCAGAAGCAGGAACCCTTCCATGGGTCTTCTCCCCAGACTGCCTAACCTCTCCTGTACCAGACGAGCTTCGTAGCTTCATCAATATCATCCTCCAAGGTCCATCAATTCTGCGAGAGCAAGGTAATATTGAAATGGATGAATGTGTGCACTGGAGGGTAAAAATTGCATGTACAATCTCACAACTGCTCATTTACTACACATGTATTGGGACACACCACACAACCAAAACAAGCACCATACGACATGGAAAAGCGCATGAGACACCATTCCCCCTTTACCAAGGCCTTAAGATGCACGACTTAAGAAACAGATCGAGAATGCCCACGAATTCGGCCTATCAGTGTCCTATAGCCGTGTTATGGAGGTAAAACAAGCTATTACACGAGCAGTCTGCAAGCGCCATTCTGAAGATGGAATTGTTCTGCCAACTAATCTGCGATGCAATGTTTTTGTCACCTTTGATGTGGACAACTTGGATAGTCATAATAAGGGAAACGTTTCACAGGATGAGTTTCATGGCACTGCTTTGAGTGCAACTAACCATCTATCTTCGGAAAACCAAGGAGTAAAGCGAGCTCCTATTCAACTGGACTTCTCTGATACATCTGTGCCCCAACTTCCAGAATCATATGCTATCGTACATCCAGTTGAGCTACACAACACTCCCTTGTTTGTACCTAGAAGCATCAACAGCCAAATTCGACCATGTCATGATATGGTGCAGAGGGCCAAGACGAAGGACGAATCCTGGATGGCACATGTCGCCACAGTGCTCCAGCAGGGCACTTGTTCAGAAGAAGAAGTCATCACATGGTCAGGGTACAACTCTTGGCTCATGAGTGAGGACTCTCTGAAGCCTCAGGCAGTGTTAGGGTTTTTTCCTCTCTTTCCAGACAAAGCAGCATCTCCATCCATGATAAAACATACAATGGAACTCACCATGCAAGGTACAGAGTTCCTGAATCCCTGTCAGACGGGTGTTCTGGGTGCAGATCAACCCATATATGCTATAGCAAAGCAACTACAATGGACATTTACAGACATTTCAGGAGAAGATAAGTTGGTTCTGATGATGGGAGCATTGCATATTGAAGACAAAGTTCATCATATGATTTGAAAGTTGTTTGCGTGATTCAGGTTGGACTACAGTACTTTCACAGGCACAGGTTCTAACATCTGGCCGTGCTGAGTCAGTTCTTAATGAGCAGCATATCAAGCGCACACGTTATGCCCACCAAGTATCTGTAATGTCTCTTCACCTCCTTAAGCACAAGGCATATTCTACCTACTGCTCGAATGTTCATGGACCATGGAGTCACAGGAGATGTGGGATCAACAATCCAGAACCGAAAATCCGCAGTTCAAGTTCTGGTCTACAATCATGGAGCTTGAGCTATTGATGTGTTGCTTCATTCGGTCTCTACGTGAGGGAGATTTCCTTTTCTATGTCCAAGTATGTGATGAGCTCTGCCCATGGTTTCATGTGATGGACCACACAAACTATGCAAGATGGCTTCCAATACATGTGCGGGATATGGTCCAGCTGTCAAAGAAACACCCGAACATACATGCTGAATTTCTCAAAGGGAACTTTGTCGTACAAAAGTCACCACACAAAATCAGCCTCATTGGAAAGGATCAGTCACACGAACAATCCAATAAGAGTCTACAGGCACATGGCGGAGCAGCAGGAATCTATGAGAACCCTGAAGCACTTAGACTCTTCATGTTGGTAGGTCCAGACTGCTCGAGATGTGTTGCAGAGTTTGAAGCTGTCCTAGACACACCAAAGTCTAGCACTGCTCATCACAAAGAAGCACATAGCTTGCAAGTTAAGTATAGGAAGGATGTCCTGTCATTTGTTGAGATTGTTGAGCAGCTAGGCAATCCCTTTGCTACTGGTCAATATAAGGTGACAGTGCCAGTGTCAAACACTATCCGACGTAATAAAATCCTGACATTCGCCAATCGTCCTGATCTGACCAAAAAAGGAAACAAAACCAGTGGTTTACAGAAGAAAAATATGCCTCTAATCACAACACTCTTCCTTTCACTACAGTCACGACCAGATGTAGATATGGAAGAGTTTTTTCGTTTTGAAAATCAAAGGGAACCACCAATTTTTGATGATCGTGGTACACTTCGATTCGGCAAAAAGTCTGATATTCTGGAATGCACCAAAGCGCCAATTGGTCGAGCACTTCCAGCCAAATTAGCCACAGTTGTTGTGCTGGACATGGCAGCTGTTGTTCATATGGTGCGGCCCACATCAGCGAAGACATTTGCTGAGTATGTTACACAACACATTGTGCCATTCCTGGAGACTCAGATAACCGAAACAGTTGCACATATAGATGCCATATGGAATAACTACCCCGAAAACAACCTCAAATCCCTCACACATCAGCGTCGTGGTACAGGTCCACGGACTAGGATTGGGGATGGCCACACACGAATCCCAAAGCATGACTGGAACAGTGGATTTCTCAAAAACGAGGATAACAAAAAGGAGTTATTCTCTTTCCTCAGTGAGGAGCTTGTCAAAAAAGATGTTGGTGGGAGACTCCATCTCAGTACCAAATTTGAGAGTGTTCTTTCCAATGGACCATGCGATGTATCAGCTCTCCAACCCTGTAACCACTCTGAAGCAGATACAAGGATATTCCTTCATCTGGCACATGCTGTATCAGAGGGGCACCAAACAGCTTATGTCCGTACTGCTGATAGTGATGTGGTAGTCCTTGCCATACGCTTCTTCTCTACACTTGGTCTCTCAGAGCTGTGGGTGTGTTTTGGTAGCGGGAACAAAATTCGCGATATTCCCATCCATGATACCTGTTCTCATCTTGGGCCTTCAAGGTCTCTGGCATTGCCGCTTTTCCATTCCATCACAGGGTGCGACACGACATCACAGCTCCTTGGGTGTGGCAAGAAAACTGCCTGGGCATCTTGGCAAAACACACCAGGACTCACTGAACACTGGTGACACTAACCAATCAACCAGAACTGTTCAGACTTGAGTCTCTTCATATGCAGAAGCTGGAACGATTTGTGGTTATCATGTATAGTAAGGGGTGTGGTTTGGCTAAAGTCAACGAAGCCAGACATTATCTTTTTACAACTGGTAAAAGAACTCTTGAGAATATACCACCCACTCAGGCAGCCTTGTTTGAACACTTAAAAAGGGCACTGCTTCAGGCAAGCTTTTACTGGAATCAAGCAGCCTCAGTTCACCAGGAAATACCGGACTTTAGTGAATGGGGGTGGCAAAAGGAAGACGGTGGTATCTGGTCGCCATACTGGACAACTCTCGACGATGCCAGTAAAGCATGTTCCTTCCTTATGCATTGCGGTTGTGAAAGGTCTTGCACCGGAAACTGTAAATGCAGTAGAGCTGGAGTCCGCTGCACGGGGTTATGCAAATGCGAAGGAGGATGTGTGAACAATCATGATACCTCGATCAATTAGATTAAACCTTGCGACAGTGATGTTTAACTTAAACTAGAAATATTTAGACTTGTTAGTTTTTTTAAATGTCTTATGTTGTTCTCAGTTGTGAACCTTTTCTGTGAGGTAAAATGACCATAAAAAATATATTTGGTTTGAATAAAATATGTTTTCAACCACTAAATTGGCCAAAATGCACTTCTACATCAAAACAAAGATCACATTTGGAACCCTTGAGGTCTAAAACCTTTAAAAAAGCCTTAATACATGATCCTATGACTCTTGGTTTTGAAGTTAGGACAAAATCAAATAGGGACTGGCGGCCAGCTTGGATTTTGCCAACATGGCCGCCCCAGTGAGCGTCGGCTTTGGCGCCCTCGAAAAATGGATTTAGTATGTTCTGGTCTACATCTATGCCAAATTTGATGCTTGTAGACACATCTGCACAATATCCCCCTAAGGGCCTGGACTAGTACCTCTCTTCAGCACACTTTATGACAATTTGGTCTTGACGTTATCGTTTGTTCGAAAATCCCTACAAATGGGCAAAACTGTTGTTCATAGCAGTCTATTTATACCCTGTGAATCTACCAGTTACTATATACACGCAGCATAAACATTTCTCACACCAGGTTATCCTCTCTACAATGTATGTTGAATATTTTACTACCAATGCCCTTTCTTATCATGAATATATATCTGGGGCAGGGATTATAAAAACTCAAAGGGGATATTTTTTTCTCAAAAACTGTTTAAGTCAGAGAAATAAAATTTTACACACTGATATTACCATCTTCCCTAGGCAAGTGAGTTAACTGACTATAAAAGTCCAGTTTCCACCCTTGCCGAACTAGGCTGGTATTATGTACTTACATTTTGGCTGGACTAACGATTCTATGCATAGTCCAATCAAAATCGCGCACCGAAATCGAAATCCGGGTCGTAAAGTGTCATGCAGATTTCGGTCGAATGCAGGATTTGCAAAGCATGTGCACCGCTAACTCGTTGTCAACATATGTTTTCTCAATCTTTTTATGCTCTTAATCAAGGTGCTCACGTGATTTGATGCACTTCGCGATGTAAGACTCGTTTTATCACAATATAGATCTTGATTATCAATCAGATCGTCTTTACTTGGCGCCACCGTTTTGTTTGAAGCAAATGCAAGTGATATGAGAGGTTGAATCTGTTTGGTCAATAGGAGAGGCATAGAAAGGACATAACTCGTAATAGCCACTGGTGGCGCTACGGTCGAGCCCAGGAATTCCAGCTTAGTTCGGCAAGGGTGGAAACTGGACTTTTAAAGTCAGTTAACTCTCTTGCCTCGGGAAGATGTGATGTTACAGGTTAAGATCTCAGATGAGTTCGAAAATTTATGTAAATTCATCTTTACAGAGTTATGTCCCTTGCTACATGCTCTTTTAACTTAGGGTTTGCTGCGTGGAATGGAGACAAGTTTTCTAAGAAAGTGCTGTAGTTTCACGAATGAACGTTTGCATGCTTATCTAAGATATGCTTGTCAAGAATTAGTTCGAAAATTGGTCTTGTCATTTTGTTTTTGCACAGAGTTACGGCCCTTGATCCATGTTGTCTTACTTGGTACATAGCGTCTGTAATGGGGACTAGTTTTCTCAGATACTACTGAAGTTAGCTTATCTAAGCGATACCTCTCCAGAGTTATTTTTTCCAGAGAAAGGACCTTTTATGTGTATTAATTTCACATTTAATCATTTCTTTCTGATGACATAAAGCGGCGTAAGTGCCTATCTCTTCTGAAGGCTTTATAGGACTATTTTAAGTTTATATCCACTACTCTATGGACAAACACAACTGTGATGTGCCCCATGGTGGGGGATAGTCATAACGTTGTTTTCTGTGTAGAAGCTATATGTATATTATGTAGGAGATACCTGATATTTTCTTAATGATAACAGCACATCACATACTTACATGGACACACGTGGCATTTGTTTGGACAGTCGACAGCAATAATGGAACAGGCATAATCTCCATATGCCGTGTTACATGTGTCGGGGTCCTTCTCGGCTTTGTTGCATTCAACTGGAAAACAAACTCTGTATTAATTAATAACATGTTGTCCCCGATCTAATTTACATCTCCACACATTCATTTACTGGATCAAAACAGTACAGAACTTAATTTCATCATGGACGCTACATATATATTTTGAGTGCCCATGACGATGAACTGATGCTATTGCAAGCATTTAAAAAGTCAAACATTCAAGATGGCGACTTTGGTTGAAAGTACAGTGAACTACGGTTATAACGAACTCAAAGGGACCACTAATTTTAGTTCGTTATGAGCATATATACATCATATATACAGCAAATGGACGGGACCAAAACAGTTCGTTTTATCCGTCAGTTCGCCATAAGCGTGATCCTTGTTAACGTAGTTTACATTACATACCACATTACGAAAGGCTGCTAGTTTGTATATTTGTACATATGTGTGTTAACTATATTACCTATGTGGGTATGGTTAAGTTGTGTGGTAGTCAGGTTATAGACACCGTTTAAGCTAACTCTTCAAGAGCTAGCTCATTGTAGTTGAAATAGGACATTTAACCACAACATTCATGTCGGCAAAGGGTAAACTATATGCGCTTGTATAACTTATTTGAAATGTATAATAAGAATACTACATAATATCTGTTCAGGGTTAATAGTTTGTATCAAGGTTTAATCAGAGCAAATGGAACATTGACTTTGTTATGTATTCTTACTATTCTTCCATAGGAGGTTACAATTCACCATCAGTCATCATACATATAATGAATACAATCAATATTGTAACTTCTCGGATAATCAGACTTAACATCGAGTAAAGGGCATCATGTGACTTTACTCTAAATAGCGTCATGCAACCACCAAGCCCCAGAGACGGGCATGGAGTACTAGGTTGTACTTACGTTGGCAGTTGTCTCCAGTGTAGAACGGGTACACTTTACACACACATGTACAATCGTCTCGAGACACACTGGCGCCATTTAAGCAGGTTACATTACAATCTGAAAGATATCTGGATATTATAATAACTTTATTCAATAACTTCATAAAGGCATGACCATACCCTAACAAGAGGACAAATCGATGTGCAAGGAGAGATGTTGTTCGTGCATTCATTGACGTGTAACAGCAGAGTGTGTACAGTGTATATTGAAATACCGAAAACAAGGGTGTTGGAAGACCATATTTCTATAACGAAGATGTACACAGAAGGAAGACATCTACATTCAATTGAGGTAATGCTTGGACAGCTACTTCAATCCTCGTCCAAATGTCAGGATGGGTTAACTACCTCTACTTCTTGACATCTCCATCAGAGTCGTGGTAATCAATGCTAAATGTGCAAGGGTAATATATTATTTTGGACAGATGAACAAAATATAAGTCCACCAAGAAGTGATCTAACCTATATATACATACTCGTGTGAAAACCCAAGTCTCAGATGCAAGTTCTATTAGCACAGATGAACAGCAAGGTGCAGCGCTTGCTGTTTAAGCCTGCATTTTGTATCCTTTGCTGTTTATTTGTAGCTGCCCCAAACCGCGCGTTTTGCATTTACAATAGATTGTTTAGGTCACTATAATTCCTCACCGCACAAATTGCCATCTTTGTGTTCAACGCTGCATTCATTCGTGGTCCCGTTTTTGTAAGGCATGTTGAATCCACCAACGTTCCCACTAAATTCGTGAAAACAAAATATTTACAGACATATTTTCACAGTTAGATTATGAACGGTAAGAAATTACGTGGTCGAAAACAAACAGTTCTCTCTTTTAATGACAACATCACTTTTGAACTTTGTCATCTAAATATGGATTGGAGGAATGACAACCTTTATGTACCGTTCTAATCTTCTGAAAACAACGCCAACACCTCACACGGCGTATTCAGCATACCTTAAATAGAGGAAATCTAAAACATGCACAACATTTACTCCCGAAAGTAATTTTACATGTGTAACTTTACATACGCGTATATGTATATTTACTTTGCGTTTACATGGCAATGTACTCAGGTATGTAGATAAGGTATGTAAATGGGGTGAGGAACACACAAATTCATCAGTCTGTTCACGATGTTCAACGTGAAAAAGGTTTTCCAGTAAAAGTCGAATGAGAAGTGAGTTACCTTTCAGAAATCTTGGCATGAAGCAACATGTGTGTTATTTTATCTGTACACAAATGTTTGACTCGTTGAAATGCAAAAAATACCGTCCGCCCAGCTCTGGATGACCGCAAGGTTGGTGTTGCAGTACACTGAATAGCGTCAACTTCGCAATATAGAACCGTTGAAAATGTGTTTGGTGTGGGCAAATCAACATATATATTACTTAGGTCATCCTCTGATGTCATAAACGTCCACGTGACAACATATACATAGAGTGCAAATTTCCATCTGCACCTACTACGAGTATTTCAGGAAGGTTTGTGTCGTTAAGAAGCCATTATACGTAATACACGCGAATCAAAATGAACCTCCCAAGATGCTATCTAAATCTTAGTTGTCTGGAGGAAACCGAGTCAGGAACATTCATCACTTCCCATGTCTTTCAATAGAGCCGTTCTCTACTTACGCTGGCCCGTAGTTGCACACATAGAATGAAGTCGCGCCGCACATTGCATATCCACAACCAATCTTCTGAGTGTCCGCCCACACCAGCTGTAAACATACAACTCATCTTAACATGTATCTTTGCGACATTTCATTGAGATTTAACGTAACATTCTAAATTACATATTTGGATACTACCTAGTACAAATGATATAAGTAAGAGCCAACAGTATTGACGATTGTCAGAAGAATGGTGAATGCACTCAGCTGGTGGTGATGGCTGTCGTTCCTGTCATGGTGTTGGCCAACTGCCGCACATGACCACGCCCTGTCGGTACGGACACAGTCACGAGTCTCCGTACCTACTGGTTGCATACGTACACGTACTATTGTGTATGTCGACAACGTAGCAGCCAAGGCACTGGGGCTCTCGTCATTATATAGAAAACACATCCTCGTAAACGTTTTAAAATGCATAAAACGCTTGACGACGCATCAGCATTCTTACCGCCATCCAACTAGCTTGGTTGAAATTAAACTGAACTAAATTGTATGTAGCACCCACATTGTTGACAGTATTTTGCTCGGGGGGGGGGGGGGGGGGGGAATAAATGCTTATGCTGTGTAAAGTGCAGGATGTTATACTCATTTGTACCGTTTATACTGTATGGACATGTGCTCTTCGTGATGAGGGGCGGTCGGGTAGTCTAGTGGTTAAGGCGTTCGCTCGTCACGCCGAAGACCCGGGTTCGAATCCCGACATGGGTACAATGTGTGAAGCCCATTTCTGGTGTCCCCCGCCGTGATAATGCTGGAATATTGCTAAAAGCGGCGTAAAACCATATTCAATCTTCGTAGTGAGCGTGAACAAGTCACACAGTGAACCCAAACGAATTATTCCTGTTTGCTTTGTATTTATGAGTTATGTAAAGCATTAATTATGTTATTGTTGATTCTGGTTTTGGATGTATTGTGTTGATTTTTGGCAGAATTCTTGTATTGTTTGTATAGCATTTAGTAGTGGTGCGGGTAACTCCTCCTATTGCCTACAGTGCACTTTACCTACAACATCATGCTTCAGGGCACACAATAGCGAAACCTTCTTCCCTATACTGTAATGGACTTATCCATGCAATGCCAAAGTCAACAAACAAGGAATACATTTTAGACTTGTAGTATATTGAATATATATTAACATGATGAAATAAATGACACTAAATATTTGACATTACTTACAATGTAAGATACTCATAATTGACATTTGATCAGGATGACAAGATTTGACACTTCTCACATCGTAAACTTTATATTGTTCAAACCGTATAGCAAACGTATTGAACCAGTGCTCTTTTGTGCATTCACAATTATTGATCAGCACAAAATCCGTTACCTTGGCACTTCAAGTGTGACGTGAAAGTAGATCTTTATTTAAAACTTTTAACCTGCTTGATAATTTCAATGATTGAAAATAAAATAATTGGCAGCAAATATGAACGGCAAGCATTTATGTTTTTGAACGACCGTATCGTCATCACCATTCACACAACACTTCATTTGACGCAGCTGTGCATTTTATTGTTTTTATGTTTTATATATAAAAAGTGGATGGAAACGATTTAGAACTACTCGGAAATCTTCGTTACTAGGAACAAACACGTCAGCTGGTGCATGTGAGGCGATGTTCACTGATGACACCCACGACGGCAAGACAAGATCTGATACATGTTTACCGGGAGCTGAATACAAGATGAACTAAACTGGTTAAATAAACTAACCTGGGTATAGTGTCCGACACTTCCAAATGAGTTATTTCCCCCAAACGTGAAATCGTCGACCTCGTCATGCCACAGGGTAACAGCATGTGTCCAGTTCTGGGTGCCAGAGGCGATGTTCTGGCCAACGTTCATGGAACCTGGGACGTCATGATATCGCTATGAGCGGCTACATCGATGATGATTACTTTGATGTTATGACAGCTAGTCAAATGTATTAAACATAGTAGTAATAGTAGAATCAGCTGTAGAAACGGTAGTAGTAGTGATAGTAGTAGTAGTGAAAATAGTAGTATTGGGAGTAGTAGTAATTGTAGTAGTAGTAGTAGTAATAGTAGCAGTGATGATTGTAGTAGTGGAAGTAGTAGTAGTAGTAATAGCAGTAGTAGTAGTAGTAGCAGTGATGATTGTAGTAGTAGTAGTTGTAGTAGTAGTAGTAGTAGTGGTAGTAGTAGCAGTGATGCTCGTAGTAGTGGGAATAGTAGTACTGATAGTAGTAGTAGTAGTAGTAGTAGTAGTAGTAGTAGAAGTGATGATTGTAGTAGTGAGAGTAGTAGTAGTAGTAGTAGTAGCAGCAGCAGCATTAGTAGTAGTAGTAGTAGTAGTAGCAGCAGCAGTAGTAGTAGTAGTAGTAGTAGTGAGAGTAGTAGTAGTAGTAGTAGCAGCAGCAGCAGCATTAGTAGTAGTAGTAGTAGTAGTGAGAGTAGTAGTAGTAGCAGCAGTAGCAGTAGTAGTAGTAGTAGTAGCAGTAGTAGTAGTAGTAGTGAGAGTAGTAGTAGTAGTAGTAGCAGCAGTAGTAGTAGTAGTAGTAGTAGTGAGAGTAGTAGTAGTAGTAGCAGCAGTAGCAGTAGTAGTAGTAGTAGTGAGAGTAGTAGTAGTAGCAGCAGTAGCAGTAGTAGTAGTAGTAGTGAGAGTAGTAGTAGTAGTAGTAGCAGCAGTAGTAGTAGTAGTAGTAGTAGTGAGAGTAGTAGTAGTAGTAGCAGCAGTAGCAGTAGTAGTAGTAGTAGTGAGAGTAGTAGTAGTAGCAGCAGTAGCAGTAGTAGTAGTAGTAGTGAGAGTAGTAGTAGTAGTAGCAGCAGTAGCAGTAGTAGTAGTAGTAGTGAGAGTAGTAGTAGTAGCAGTAGTAGTAGTAGTAGTAGTAGTAGTGAGAGTAGTAGTAGTAGTAGTAGCAGCAGTAGTAGTAGTAGTAGTAGTAGTGAGAGTAGTAGTAGTAGCAGCAGTAGCAGTAGTAGTAGTAGTAGTGAGAGTAGTAGTAGTAGTAGTAGCAGCAGCAGTAGTAGTAGTAGTAGTAGTGAGAGTAGTAGTAGTAGTAGTAGCAGCAGTAGTAGTAGTAGTAGTAGTGAGAGTAGTAGTAGTAGTAGCAGCAGTAGTAGTAGTAGTAGTAGTAGTGAGAGTAGTAGTAGTAGTAGTAGCAGTAGCAGTAGTAGTAGTAGTAGTGAGAGTAGTAGTAGTAGCAGCAGTAGCAGTAGTAGTAGTAGTAGTAGTAGTAGTAGTAGTAGTAGTAGTAGTAGTAGTAGTAGTAGTAGCAGCAGTAGCAGTAGTAGTAGTAGTAGTAGCAGCAGTAGCAGTAGTAGTAGTAGTAGTAGTAGTGAGAGTAGTAGTAGTAGCAGCAGTAGCAGTAGTAGTAGTAGTAGTGAGAGTAGTAGTAGTAGTAGTAGCAGCAGCAGTAGTATTAGTAGTAGTAGTGAGAGTAGTAGTAGTAGCAGCAGCAGTAGTAGTAGTAGTAGTGAGAGTAGAAGTAGCAGCAGCAGCAGTAGTAGTAGTAGTAGTGAGAGTAGTAGTAGTAGCAGCAGCAGTAGTAGTAGTAGTAGTGAGAGTAGTAGTAGTAGCAGCAGCAGTAGTAGTAGTAGTAGTGAGAGTAGAAGTAGCAGCAGCAGTAGTAGTAGAAGTAATAGTAGTGAGAGTAGTAGTAGTAGTAGCAGCAGCAGCAGCAGTAGCAGTAGTAGTGAGAGTAGTAGTAGTAGAAGTAGTAGTAGTAGTAGTGAGAGTAGTAGTAGTAGTAGCAGCAGCAGCAGCAGTAGTAGTAGTAGTGAGAGTAGTAGTAGTAGTAGTATCAGCAGTAGTAGTAGTAGTGAGAGTAGTAGTAGTAGTAGTATCAGCAGCAGCAGCATTAGTAGTAGTGAGAGTAGTAGTAGTAGTATCAGCAGCAGCAGCAGCAGTAGTAGTAGTAGTGAGAGTAGTAGTAGTAGTATCAGCAGCAGCAGCAGCAGCATTAGTAGTAGTGAGAGTAGTAGTAGTAGTATCAGCAGCAGCAGCAGCAGTAGTAGTAGTAGTGAGAGTAGTAGTAGTAGTAGCAGCAGCAGTAGTAGTAGTAGTGAGAGTAGTAGTAGTAGTATCAGCAGCAGCAGCAGCAGTAGTAGTAGTAGTGAGAGTAGTAGTAGTAGTAGCAGCAGCAGCATTAGTAGTAGTGAGAGTAGTAGTAATTTAGGCACCTGAGGTTTGGTTGTGTTTCTGCCGTTGGCTCTTAGTAGAGTATTGAGGGAGGTGGAACTGGTGAAGTAGGTGTCAATATTGGCTTGCTGTTTGAGGAGGCGGCTGATGTGGGAGGCCTTTCATATGAATGGGAGGGCGCTGATCCGGGTTTAGTGATCGCAGATCTGGGTTTGGGATAGAGTACAGAGGGGATGACTTTGTCGACAGGATTGGGTGGATAATTGTTGAGGTGGGTGAAGACATGACGGAGGTTTTCGATCTCAGGTTCTCAGGTTCAGCAGAAGTAAGGTTGATGGCTCGTTGATGGTAAAGGTGATGCCAGTCTTGGCTCTGAGGGGATGGTTGGGATTGAAGCGGATGTACAGATTGGTGTGGGTGGGTTCCGGTAGACACTGGTTTGGAGTCCTGGAGACGAGGATACCTTGGAAGGGTAGTTGGTTGTTCTTTTCTATTTCGATGGTGAACTGTACTCGGGGGTGTTGTTGGTTTAGATGTTGTAGTAGCAGGGTTGGGTTTGGTTTCAGGATGACAAAGGTGTTGTGGACTTTTCTGTACCTGCAAATAGGTTGGATGGGTGATGTGGTTAGGGCTTACTGAAGGTCATGTAGATTTCAGCAAGGATAGGAGAGAGTGGGGATCCATGGGTAGGCCGTGTATCTGTTGATAGTACTCGTCGCCCCAGGTGAAGTATGTATAGCAGATAATGGGGGTGGTGAGGGCGATGATAGATTCGGTGGATAGGCTAGTTTCAAGAGGAGTTTCAGTGATGCGACGGCGGAGACTTTGCAGAGTGTCATCTATGGGTACGTTGGTGAAGAGGTCCACTACATCGTAACTCATGATTTGATCTGGGTCGGCGATGTTCGTGAGTTTGGAGCAGAAGTCGGTGGAATCAGAGATGAAGGAGTCAGATGATTTTCCTATGGGGGCAAGGATTCAGGTGGGGTTTTGGGCCGTGTTGTCAACGACAGTGTCTTGGGAACAGACAAGTAGACGGGCCTTAGGAGGGTTCTTTTGGATTTTGATTGTGGCTCTGGCATAGGGTGTGGTTGGGGGTGATTGACGGAGAGGTGGTGGTGAAGTACTTAGCTAATTTCAAAGTTGTCTTTTAGTCGTTTGAGGTGGGTTTTATGTTCGCGAAGGAGTTTGGCAGTTGGGTTCTTCTTGATCTTGGAGTAGTTGGTGGGGTCTTGGAGGATGTTGTTGACTAGCTCATGGAAGTGGACAGTGTCCATGATGACTGTGGCCCTGCCCTTGTCAGCAGGGGCAATCTTGATGGTGTTGTCATCTCGGAGTTCTTTGAGCGATTTTGTCTCGGCTCTGGTGAGGTTAGGAGTTATGGTTTTGGCAAGAATGTCACAGATTTGGTGACGCGATAGTCGACCTTACCCCCTGGTGCGAGTTGCTGAAGCCCTTTCTCGATATTAGAGATGAAGTCATTATGGTTCCGTAGTGGTCTGGTGGGGATGTACTTCAGGCCTTTGAACAGGACGTTGGTCTGTTCTGTGGTGAGCTTCGTAGTCGTCGTAATAGTAGTAGCAACAACAACAATAGCAGTCATATACTGGATACTGTCAGTTATAAGATGGGGTGACCTCGAAACAGCGAATTAGAAAGGGTAGTAGTAGAAGTAGTAGTAGTAGTAGTAGTAGTAGTAGTAGTAGTAGTAGTAGTAGTAGTAGTAGTAGTAGTAGTAGTAGCAAACAGAAATTGGAGTGTGGCTGAAGTTCCCTCCCAAATAAAATCAATAATGGACATAGTCTCAGAAAGAACACTGTAACCCATTTTACAATCCCGTGGTAACCATTTATTATACTATGTATAACGTGTTTGTGCAATGATTCTACACTACCTGGAATGGCTCTCTGGTCGTTACTGTCATGCTTTAATAAGCACGCCTCTGCCCAGTGCTGTGCTATGCTCGCTATTTCATCGTCCCAGGACTGTGAGAAAATGAAATGATAGCTTAAATAAGAAATCAGTTCGTGCTGTGCATGTTTTAAGGTTAACAAAGAGACTTATCATCACCCACACACTCCCGTGAAAGTCATTTGTCGGATCTTGTGCTGGCAAATAAATCCAGCTTGTCTGTCACAACATTAACATGTGTATCTTTATCTTTACTTGCAGAGATGATAGTACAGGGGGAGTGTTACACGAGTGGTTAAACCTGGGAATCTGTGGATGTTTTGGAATGTTCGTAAACATACATGTATCTCTGCCTGGAACAATCGTAAGGACGTGACCATTCATGTTTGACATCAGAACTAACAGTGACATGCTCGTGCAGCATGTCTCCCATAGTTTCTCCAACATACAGTATGTCTCTCATAGTTTCTCCAACATACAGCATGTCTCTCATAGTTTCTCCAACATACAGTATGTCACTCATAGTTTCTCCAACATACAGCATGTCTCTCATAGTTTCTCCAACATACAGTATGTCTCTCATAGTTTCTCCAACATACAGTATGTCTCTCATAGTTTCTCCAACATACAGCATGTCTCTCATAGTTTCTCCAACATACAGTATGTCACTCATAGTTTCCCCAACATACAGCATGTCTCTCATAGTTTCTCCAACATACAGTATGTCTCTCATAGTTTCTCAAACATACAGCATGTCACTCATAGTTTCTCCAACATACAGTATGTCTCTCATAGTTTCTCAAACATACAGCATGTCTCTCATAGTTTCTCCAACATACAGTATGTCTCTCATAGTTTCTCCAACATACAGTATGTCTCTCATAGTTTCTCCAACATACAGCATGTCTCTCATAGTTTCTCCAACATACAGCATGTCTCTCATAGTTTCTCCAACATACAGCATGTCTCTCATAATTTCTCCAACATACAGTATGCCCAGGCATCACATTTGGGTATTTAAATCCGCTGTTTGAAATTGTAATGTTCACTTATTCCCCTGAACATGGCACGAATGAAGATAGCAGAGGCACAAATAATTATGGCGAATAATTGGAATGCATTCCATAGAGTTGTCCTTCAAAGCTACCAGGCGTCAAACGGCCCACAATTACACAGTAATCAGCCGATTGGTGAGACAACATGGATAAACCAGAGCTGTGGAGAACCCTTCACGGTCAGGGCGGTCTCCTGTGACGTAACAACGTTAAAACAGGACACTGCTTCAATTTGTACGACGGCAGCCATTTGTACGACGAGTCCCGTCCTGAAGCGACTGTGGCTATCCAATCGACGTTTGTTCACCAGAATCCCGAGGATCCGCTTTAAAGCAGTAGGAATGGCGCCCAGGAGAGTCCTCACATCGCCCCTTCCTGACAGAGCATCATCAGGGGTTCCGTTTGCCAGGGGTTTAGCACGGCGGGCTTGGGATCGGCGAACCTTGCGGGAAATCCATTGGTCTGACGAAACCAGGTTTCTGCCCCATGTCACGGATGGACGACTGAGGGTTTGGAGGGACAGGAGTAAGACTAAAACTCCCAGGAACTGCAGGCTAACCACCCCTTTTAGGAGGAGGCTCAGTAATGATCTGGGGTGTATTTCACACGATTGCAAGTACTGATCACCATACAAGGCAACCTCACAGATAATCAGTACATGCTAGATATTTTGGAACAACATGCCTCCGGAACAACGCTGCTACCCCTGTGCCACAATGAGGCCAGATCTGAATCCTCTCGAGCACATTTGTGACATCCCTGGGCATCGTATACAGGCACTAGAGCCTCATGTACAGACTACGCGAGAAACGGAAGCAGCTTTGCATGGGGATTGGCTGCAGTTGCCCCCTCAGCTGATCCGATGTCTGACTGGAGGGATGGCACGCAGGGTGGTGGCCGTTATCCGGACACGTGGAGGGTGTACTCGCTACTCAACATTTACCTGCGGTTTTCATCTAGGTGGCCATTATCCAGAAATAGCTTCATAATTAAAAAGGAATATTGATTGGGGGTGAAAACACCACCGGTGGTTGTGCTACAATATCGTGATATAAATATAACCTCAGCTGACAATGGTGATGTTTTTTTATTGTCAATGCGTTGTTCGTTTACCCGAACTCATTTTATCAGCAATTTCATTCTAGCCCTTGTTTCCTTAATCGCTGAAATTTTCGTGAGGAAAGACAGGCATGGAGGGAGCCGTAACGACCCCTGTGGTGATCCCCTATTAACATGGAACCCTGTTACTTCTTGCCACTTACCATTTTAAGCATGTTTGTTGCCTGTGGGGTAACGCTATTTCTATGACTGTTGTGTTGGGTAACGATTAGAGTTTTGTCAGCGTCGGAAATCCCTAAAAGAAAAAATACGGCATTGAAAACGTGAAACCCTGTAAATCCGGACGGTAGCGTCAACGGTTAGTAGTACAAGGTACTGACTGGTCAATCAAAGTACATGTACATCGATATTTTAAGTAAATAAAAAGATATCTCTACTTACATATATATGGGGTATAAATATATATATATTTACTGATCAATAACGAGTTCATGTGACGTACATATACATGTTTACATTGTTCCAACAGTATACACTTCAAGTATTTCCAACAATGAATAATTATCATGGACGAATATGTACCATTCACTCATGCCTTTCGTAAAGGCATTCAACATGGCCATAACATGTGACAGACACAGCTGAAATTACGGCAACCCTCAGCTACGACGTAACCATCCGCCCCAGCTACTGCGGATGCTATATCCATTAAGCTAATTAACTAAATCCTGAATTTTTAGCGACTGTCCTTGAAAAGTGTAATGTTGTACCTGATTCTGACACTTGACTTGAGCTCGCAATACAAGCAGAATGGCCCGTCACTTGCCTATACTTGTCTTTGCATGTTGCCTGGAAAAGGAATATATAATTCAAATATACACCTTTACGCCTTAAACATGTCACGCCATGTTTAAAACATGATCAGATACAATGGAACAATAATGTTCAATAATTCACAGCCATTCGTTACCAATTCCTCCACATGTTGTAGATATACTGCTAAAAAAAGGTTAAATGACCACCCGATTATTTCATATTACTATAGTTATTCTGTCATGCCATGACAAATTAACGACAGTAATATGAAAGAATTGGGAGATACTTAGCTGTTTGTGAGCAGTATAGAACGGGAATGCCACTAATTATATAACCGATTCCGAGGGGCACCTTTCACCCAAAAAGGTCACACATTCAAATGTTAGTAGTTGTAATGTTTGGCCCTCACTCTAATGAAGGTTCATTCTCCAACGAACTCACACAAAGTGAATGTCAGTTATTACAAAATGTAATCTTATAGCATGAAGGTGTGCACACGAATTCATTTAGTACGTGTGACTTCTTGTTCACATGGCAGCGGAATAAGATAGTTAACAAAAGGAGACATGAGCGTATGTATACACAACTTACTCTATGGTTACGTCTTTTATAGTTTGGCTACAACAAATACATTCAAGTACTAACCTTATTGGATGATAAAGGTATGTTAAGAACTACCTCAGGAAGTTAGTCATATATCAACAACGTATCTGGCTTTGTGAAAAAGGACCCAGGTTCATAAAGTACACGATCAAAAGGTGTTTAAGTAGCTTCCAGCTGTAAGATATTTATATTCCTACTTGTAAGGTGATATGCTAAATCCAGCTTATTCGAATTTTAAAAACTAGAGTGTTTAAAACAAAAGATTGGACTACCCACACTCCTCTTGGCTCGGTGCCCGGGGCCCACAGCTGAACCAGCACACGTCTGCAGCAGCCCTGAAATACAGTTGTACAGAACATGGTATCGTTTATGTGCAATCTGTATGCTTATGAATATATGGCGTAACGCACGTTCGATCACACTGCTTCATTCCGATGTTGGCAGTGAAATACCAAGGTTACCGAGGGAAAGGACAACGGTAATGAAGATATTATTGGTTTAATTGTGTCCATCACATCTCATGGACGGCATCCTTTCAGATAAGAATGTAAGATGACAATAGTATGTAAATACTGCCTGAGTCAATGAATCATCTTCTATTCTTCCATGTTGACACATCAGCACTCCACACATTAGCTGTATACATTGCTAATGGAAACTAGATTACAGACCAACATGAAAGCTACAGTAAATCTAACCTGTAGTTAACACACCAGCACTCCACACATTAGCTGTATACATTGCTAATGGAAACTAGATTACAGACCAACATGAAAGCTACAGTAAATCTAACCTGTAGTTAACACACCAGCACTCCACACATTAGCTGTATACATTGCTAATGGAAACTAGCTTACAGACCAACATGAAAGCTACAGTAAATCTAACCTGTAGTTAACACACCAGCACTCCACACATTAGCTGTATACATTGCGGGAATAAACTAGATTACAGACCAACATGAAAGCTACAGTAAATCTAACCTGTAGTTAACACACCAGCACTCCACACATTAGCTGTATACATTGCGGGAAGAAACTAGATTACAGACCAACATGAAAGCTACAGTAAATCTAACCTGTAGTTAACACACCAGCACTCCACAAATTAGCTGTATACATTGCTAATAGAAACTAGATTACAGACCAACATGAAAGCTACAGTAAATCTAACCTGTAGTTAACACACCAGCACTCCACACATTAGCTGTATACATTGCTAATGGAAACTAGCTTACAGACCAACATGAAAGCTACAGTATTTCTCACCTGTAGTTAACACACCAGCACTCCTTACATTAGCTGTATACATTGCGGGAATAAACTAGATTACAGACCAACATGAAAGCTACAGTATTTCTCACCTGTAGTTAACACACCAGCACTCCACACATTAGCTGTATACAGTGCGGGAATAAACTAGCTTACAGACCAACATGAAAGCTACAGTATTTTTCACCTGTAGTTAACACACCAGCACTCCACACATTAGCTGTATACATTGCTAATGGAAACTAGCTTACAGACCAACATGAAAGCTACAGTAAATCTAACCTGTAGTTAACACACCAGCACTCCACACATTAGCTGTATACATTGCTAATGGAAACTAGCTTACAGACCAACATGAAAGCTACAGTATTTCTCATCTGTAGTTAACACACCAGCACTCCACACATTAGCTGTATACATTGCTAATGGAAACTAGATTACAGACCAACATGAAAGCTACAGTAAATCTAACCTGTAGTTAACACACCAGCACTCCACACATTAGCTGTATACATTGCGGGAATAAACTAGATTACAGACCAACATGAAAGCTACAGTAAATCTAACCTGTAGTTAACACACCAGCACTGCACACATTAGCTGTATACATTGCTAATGGAAACTAGCTTACAGACCAACATGAAAGCTACAGTATTTCTCATCTGTAGTTAACACACCAGCACTCCACACATTAGCTGTATACATTGCTAATGGAAACTAGCTTACAGACCAACATGAAAGCTACAGTAAATCTAACCTGTAGTTAACACACCAGCACTCCACACATTAGCTGTATACATTGCTAATGGAAACTATCTTACAGAGCAACATGAAAGATACAGTATTTCTCACCTGTAGTTAACACACCAGCACTCCACACATTAGCTGTATACATTGCTAATGGAAACTAGCTTACAGACCAACATGAAAGCTACAGTAAATCTAACCTGTAGTTAACACACCAGCACTCCACACATTAGCTGTATACATTGCTAATGGAAACTAGCTTACAGACCAACATGAAAGATACAGTATTTCTCACCTGTAGTTAACACACCAGCACTCCACACATTAGCTGTATACATTGCGGGAATAAACTAGATTACAGACCAACATGAAAGCTACAGTAAATCTAACCTCTTGATACTACTGTCAGCTCTGAGAGGAATAAGGATACAAAGTGACTCTGCCATTAATGCGTACTGTGTCAGGATTTATTCACTTGAGTCACGGCATTCAATCCAGGCCATGCTGCTTACTCACAAGATCAAAGTGTATCAGTGCTTAAGTATACAAACAACAGATCTATTCAGTTGTCTGTACTTGGTCCGGACATGGAAGACATGTCAGTGAGTGCATAGGTAGGACGTTTTAAAAAATCTCAGCAACATGAAGGCGGAGTCACTAACACTTTTTGTCTTAATGTCTTTTTGATCCCAACTTACACATTCATCCTCTATACAGGCCGCGAATAGAAGATAATACAAGAAAGCGGGATTGATCATCACACATGAATTAATAATAAATTGCATGGTTATGCTAAAACTTTGACCTTTAATTGTGGCTACTCCTCTATACACATTTTCGAATTTTCCAAAAGCAACACACAACAAATATATGTTATGAAAAGAATCTGGCCGGTATGAGAAATAAGCCCGTAGATCGGCATGGAGGGACGATGAGAAATAAGCCCACTGATCGGCATGGAGGGACGATGAGAAATAGGCCCACTGATCGGCATGGAGGGACGATGAGAAATAAGCCCACAGATCGGCATGGAGGGACGATGAGAAACAAGTCCACAGATCGGCATGGAGGGACGATGAGAAATAGGCCCACTGATCGGCATGGAGGGACGATGAGAAATAAGCCCACATATCGGCATGGAGGGACGATGAGAAACAAGTCCACAGATCGGCATGGAGGGACGATGAGAAATAGGCCCACTGATCGGCATGGAGGGACGATGAGAAATAAGCCCACAGATCGGCATGGAGGGACGATGAGAAACAAGTCCACAGATCGGCATGGAGGGACGATGAGAAATAGGCCCACTGATCGGCATGGAGGGACGATGAGAAATAAGCCCACAGATCGGCATGGAGGGACGATGAGAAACAAGTCCACAGATCGGCATGGAGGGACGATGAGAAATAGGCCCACTGATCGGCATGGAGGGACGATGAGAAATAAGCCCATAGATCAACATGGAGGGACGATGAGAAATAGGCCCAAAGATCGGCATACAGGGACGATGAGAAATAAGCCCACAGACCGGCATGGATGGACGATGAGAAATAGGCCCACTGATCGGCATGGAGGGACGATGAGAAATAGGCCCACATATCGGCATGGAGGGACGATGAGAAACGATAGTCTTACGTGACATTGGCAAAGACGAGGCGCTAGTCATGAAAGTACGAGGGTTGGTCAAAAAGTTCGAAGCATGAACCAAATGCATTGGCGTCCTTGCAGTCATAGTGATCCCGCCCCATATCATTACAGACTCACCCCCTAATCTGTCATGTTGCCTTAAGTTGACATTCGCATGGCGAGATATCGTTGGGACGTCTCAGACACGTCCACGCCTATGCAGAAAGTCCAGAGTGAATCTGGGTTCATCTGAACACACCACAGGAGTCCATTGGCGACTACAGGCGATTCTTAACACCATATAGGCGCCAGGCTAGAATGTGCCCATTTGTTAACGACGCTACAACACGTGATCTCCGGGTATACAGATTACCTGTATGCAGACGGTTTCTAACCCTGTGGTCAGAAATTTGAACTCAGGTTTCCTGGCGCGATTTTACTGGTTGTTTAGGCTCAATATCTTAAAGCCTGTTTTCTGATTAATTAATCCCGAATTTGTGTTGTTGACTGACGGTGCCCTAAGCGAGGCCAATGATTAACATTTATGTCTGCAGAAACCTGTTCCAATATCTGCAAATCACAGACTGAGACACATTGAACATATTGGCTACATCTATAAACCAAAGGCGTTCCTCACGTTGTAGACGACACATTCCCAACCTAGGCACAAACCCTGCATTAAATCAAGCGTAAAGACATAGATAATGAAAATCAACAATAAAAATGGATAAGAGCGATTTGACGACCTTTCAGTGGAGTGTCAACATCTGGAAGTACCCCCTACCCACGTGCACGGAGGAATTGCATGGTTCACGTGCAATGTTTCAGGTGTGTTTTGGTCCAGAATCCGTTCTCTCTGTAGCAGTTATTTTTCAAAGCTAAGCTTTCTTCTGACGACCGTTCATAACATATATAGTTCACTAGCCCCTATTTTTTTTAAAGCATATATACATGTATATGATTTTTCCACTTTGGCGATACTAACAGACTTATGTCAAAATCAGTCGGATGTTTGTCAAATGTCCCCTTTAAGGTCATCAGGATGCCACAATTCACGTTCAGTATGATTCTAAGACTTGATAGAAATTGCATGTTATGAAGGTTCCTTGTAGTTTTAATGTCTTATTTTTCATTATCGCAAATTACCTGTCATACATTCATGGTGTCAGACAAGGATAATTTATGAAATCCCGAGTTTGATAACATGGGTGTGTCTCGGGTTATCACTGTTTGTTTTGGGTAACAGATAAAATCGTCGACTGACATGTTCCGCTTTCTATCACACCCAGTCCGCCGACCACCCTTAGATATCTTGAAGATGAGTTTAGCAATATCCATCTCTCGATCTCCTGATGTTTAGAAGTAGAAGACTTACGCAGTAGAAGGTTACTCAGTAATTAATAATGACGCCTGTAGTAAAATGCAAAATGATATATATTGGTTTCAACTCTGTGATATAACCTCAAATTACTTCAGACGTGCTAACGGTCATGGAAGATCATACCATTTCAGAAACATTGTTTCTGTACGTGAACGGATACGAATTCAGGTCCGCAGAGCGAAACTTAAATATCTCGCTGAAGTACATGAAAACTGCATATTGGATACTGAGCCCAAATACGTTCATACCAATACAGTGAAGTCAAAGTAGAAAATGTCCTACCCGCTAGCGTAATTGCAACAACCAAACA